GTGCCTGCCAGGAGGATGGAGCCAGGAGGGGCTGGGCTCTGCTCCCAAGGAACAAGTGACAGAACAAGAGGAAACGGCCTCAAGCTGCCCCAGGGCAGGTTTAGATGGAGCTGAGGAACAATTCCTTGCCCAGAGGGTGCTCAGGCATTGGAACAGGCTGCCCAGGGCAGGGCTGCAGTCACTGTCCCTGCAAGTGTTCACACAGCGTGGAGACGAGGCCTCAGTGCCATGGGGCAGTGGTGGCCTTGGCAGTGCGGGGGAACGGTTGGACTGTATGATCATGAAGTTGTTTCTATGCTTCTATATTAAAATTGTGTTGAGTGAAAGCAGAACATTGAGATTGGACTGTTTCTGCCATTCCTTACCTACAGGTTAAGTCTAAGACGGTTGCACAGTGTGTGGAATACTACTATACCTGGAAGAAAATCTTGCGTTTGGGACGGAAACACAGAACACGCTTAGAGAAAAGGAGAGAGGAGTGCCTGGTGAGTCTAAAAGAATGTAAGAATACCACCTGATAATTGTTGCGTTCATCCTGTTTTGAGGAGGAGTTTGAACTAGATGATGTAGGTCTGCTCCACAGTTATGAATTCAGGATGAGGAAAAGGTACTGAAACCTGGAAGCAGGCTTGGTTAAGCAGCATGCTGTTCCAGTGCTATGTCCTCCTATCCAGCACTGTCTGCCTGTGACCATGCTTCCAGTATCTCTTACACGCACTCTCACTTTCAGACGAGCGGAGAGGAAGAAGTGTTAGAGGAAGATGAGGACATTGAAGAAGACAGAAAGGAAGAAAGGGAGATGCAGAAGTCTCCTGATCCACCAGCTATCCCTCTTGTTGGACCCATAGATCTGCCTGCCCTTCAGAGTCTTTCACTTTCTTCGTCCTCCTTCATCTGTGAAATGCCAAACTGTGGTGCTGTACGTGGTTGTTACATTTAATAGCAGGGGGAGAGGTTGCATGCGAGTGAAATCAGGGCTTTAGACTATTCCTGGCTGGCGATATCTCCTGAATCTCTTTGGACAAATTATTTTGCCTGCTTTTAAAGCCCAGCCCACAGGCAATATAAAACTGAATCCTGAGTTGTTGTATCACCAGAAATACTGTATGGTGACAGCTCTGGTTACCTTTTTGCTGTACAGCTGCAGTAATAGGACATATCACTGGTTTGTTTTATTATGACTAAGTTTCTCTAACTCTAGTGGGATGTAGGTGAGAGCAAGCAGCACTGACCAAGTAGACTGTGCGTGTTAGAGGCGTACGGTTGTCCTGCAGTCAGCATACCTCTTTCTGCAGCGCGGTGTTGCTTGGTTTTGATTTCCTTTCTTCCCCCACCCCACTCTCCGTCAGGTGTTCAGCTCCCGCCAGGCGCTGAACGGCCACGCTCGCATTCACGGGGGTACGAACCAGGTGACAAAGCCACGGTGCACCATTGCAGGCACGAAGCAGAAATGCGGTACGCAGAGCGGGTACTGCTCCATCAAGAGTTCACCTGCCCACAGCACAACAAGCGGGGAGACCGACCCAACGACGATTTTTCCTTGCAAGGAGTGTGGCAAGTAAGTGCAGAGAACTGCAGTATCACATTTGCCCATTTATTTTCCAGATCAATAGTATTGCAGCAAACCCTTTATTTTGCTCTCATGGTCTCAAAAGAACAGGTTTGCCTTACCAAAACCCTCAGAGATTGGTTAGCATGACATTCTGGACGTTTTGGAAACTTTACAGCATTTACTCCAACATTCCTGAACCTGTTTACCTGCTGGAATGTCTGCATTTGACAGTCCAGCTTCCTGCCTCATCACACACTTGCATGTGACAGTGGGTCACTTTTTGTCTGTTTCTGTGCTTGAGTTTATCCATGCTAATGTGGGATCCCTTCGTGTTTTCTTTGTTGTGCAGGACTGTTGCGAAACTAAGCACAGGGAGAATTAGGATGTGCATAGACACTGAAGCAACTGCGCGAGCCACAAAATACCTCCGGCAGTAGGAGTAGGCCATTTTGATACTGTCAGGATGTATAAATCTGGTAGTCTGTCCCGGAAATTCTCACCGTGGCATTGCAGACTTCACTGATTTCTATTTCAGGACAAGGAAGCAAATGTACTGATAGGCTGTTGAGTCTTTTTTGGCTCACTTCATCAAAAGGAATGCGTTTTTATCTGATTTTTTTTTTTTCTTATTCCTTTCAAATTTAGGGTGTTTTTCAAAATCAAAAGCCGCAATGCTCATATGAAGACTCACAGACAACAAGAAGAACAGCAGAGGCAGAAGGCTCAGAAAGCCGCCGTGGCCGCAGAAGCGGCAGCCGCTATTGCGAGAACTACTGGGCCCGTTGGGCATGGTTTGGTCCCTGTGGATCACATGAGTTTGGTGAAACATGTTGGAAGTGTGGGTGACATGGACGATGATGTTGTTCAGGAGCTGGGTGACGTCATGGAAGAGAATGAAGTCATGGATGCTGACCTTTTGTTGGATGATGAAGATGCAGATCTACTGCAGGATGAGGCCGAGTTGTAAATAAAGTTGTTTGATAAAGACAGCTACTGAGCACACCCTGAATGGAGCAATCAGGAAACCTGGACTGCTCGTTTATTCCCCACTGATTGTAAACTACCTGTTGAAAATGATAATCCTTCTATCCAGGTCTAGAAAAGAAAAAAAAAAAGAAATCTGCTTCCCCCCCCCCTTTTTTTTTTTCTATTAATTTGTGTTTTGGAGGAAAAATAAATAATTGGTACAAATATTCTTATAAGGTGTTTTTATCTGAGCTCATTTTGCTGATAACTTCCAAGGCCACTAATTACAGAAGTTCATGGTTCTGCTATCACTTCCCTCCAGATGGTCCCGGTAGGATCGTTAGTCTTTAACTCCTTCCAAGTTTCATTTTACCCCAATTACAAGAATGATCTTCACACACTTCTGATGGAGCATTTCTTTTTTTTTTGCCTATGCTGGATCACCTCCAGCATCTTCTAGAGACTAAATGTCATCTCTGTTAAGGAGATAATTACATTCTTTGTGCTGTCATTTTTAAGGGAGGTGGAGGAAAAAAAAACTATTCTGATTTAACTGTGAAATAATGACAGGAGTGACTGTATCATCTGCAGTATCGCAGTCCTTTTTCAGTTCTGTCTTGCCTTAATGCAGACATGTTAGGCAGTTTGCAAAAGCATTGGTCACACTGTACGTTTTAGAGCTTCCATTTTAGCGAGGTTTTGATCCGCTGATTTTAAAATGACCTAATTCAAGGACTGAAGAAAGATGATTGTACTGTGGTTCGCATCCTCTGACGGGAACACTGAATCGGGAACACTGAATCAGGAACACTGCCTTGGGAATCAGATTGCACTGGAAATATATTTTGCTGTGACAATAAATCACACTGCTGAATAGCCATCTCGGTGGTTTTAGGAGAGCATACGCTTGAGCAGCGCAGGAGCTTGCTCTCTCACCAGGCAAATACAGGGAGACATTCTTGCCCGTGGACGAGATTGGAGCATATGCCTTCAGCGCCTGTCAGTTATTACTTGTAGGCATGAACTGTTACTCTTGTGCCATTTTTAGTCCTCATCACATCAAATTCAAGCACTGTTTCTTTAGCAAAACACACTGCAAAGGTGAGTTGATGTTGCTGTTTCGTGAGTGTTTTTCCTCCCTTAGGTTCAGATCTACATGCTGGGTGTCTGACACCATTTATACGACTTCAGATTTGGTCCTCTAAATAGGATCTCAAAAGAGTTGTACCCTGCAGAATGAAAGAATTAACGAAGTATTGGAGTTAGGTTTGAGTGGACCTTTAATGACACAATATGAATACCGATTGTAGAGCTTTCACAGGTAGCAGCACTGATTTTCTTGTGAATTTTGCACAGTTAGAAGAGTTACTGCTAACTTTATAAAATATTTTGTAAGACTGATTTCAGATCTTCCAGATTTCAGGGTCGTTTGGGGTTTTTTTATGGGTTCAGTTTTGGTTTATTGGGTTTTTTTTGCCACATTCCTAACATCTTGAGCAGAATCTTGAGAGAAGGTGGAGCTTATTTTGTACTTTCTTCCTTGTATAACTATGCAAAATGAGGGTAAATCACAGCACTTTTGTGTAGTTCAGAAGTTTCAAACCCGATGGGAATCGTTGGCATCAGGCAGAGAGGTGCCCTCTCTGTCAAAGCCAGTTACGTGAAGCCAAATGACCTGAAGTTTCTACTTAAGGTCAAACGTTCTGATACTAAGGAACAACCCTTCAGGAGAATGGAAATCACTTCTCAGTCTCTGGTTAGTGAAGTTCCTGTGCATGTGGTGTTTGCTTTAGTGCTCTGGGGGGCCGTTCCAGAAGGGTGTTTTTTTTTTTCTTAGTTGGTGTTGACCAGCGGGTGGAATTCCACTCCCTCTGGGATGTAAGGGATGATGTTCTCAATTACTGTACCTGTGAGTTTCAGGAGGTCAGGCAGCCGCCTTTTCTTTCCTGAACTGCCAGTCAGCAGGCTCCCCAGCTTGCTGTTCCTGTCCTGTTACACCTTACTTTTACAAGGGCCACGCCACCCAGGCTCTGCAGGCTGGGTGCTCAGCTGTATGCTGCCAACTAGATCCACTGATGATGAATTCCCACCGAAAATAAACGGAGGCTTTCACGAGCAGTAACTTGTGGTGGCTTTTAGGAGCCTGTGTTAGAAACCACTGGGCAGAGCCCACTCTTTCTCTTCCAATCTGGTATCATTTTGAGCTTCTAAGGATCTTTCTGAGAAAGGCTGCTACGCTGGGAAATGGAAATGTGTTTTTCAGATGCGCCTGTTAATGGTAGGGGAAAAACTGAATGTTTAACAGTGTGGTAATTGAAGTCACTCAGAATTCTACTTAAAGCAGAGTGAAATACAGTAGAAACGTGGGCTTGATTCTGAAGAGCAACTCTGTATTAAAGGATCTACAGTGGAACTTTTATACCATGCACTGGACAGGTATCTGTGCTAAACAGAGTATATATAACTATATATACACATATAAATGCCTGATTCTGTGACGTTAATCAGGTGCTGGTTTATTGTACAGCCAAGAAGATGTTAGAGCAACGATGACCAAAGAAGTTACTCATAAAGGAAAAAAAAAGTGCACGATTTCGGCCTCCAACGTTGACTTCATTATTCTTAAGTGTTGCATTGGCTGATGTTAAACAGATGCTGTTCTGCCTCTTTGTACCTAAGTCGAACATAGTTTTATTTCAGGAAACTTGTTTTCTTGTTGCTGGTTGATGATGGAAAACTGTTCACTATTGAACCGAGTCCTCTTTGATAAAAGCTGTACATACAGAAAACATATTTTATGAGAAAAATCTTATTTTCAATATTTAAGTGTTATTTTATTAGCAGACGGTTGTACATATTTTAGGTGCTTCCGTGTAAAAAGCGAACTGTAATTTTAGGTGGCAGAGGAAGTAACAAAATAAACAAAAACCTAATAAACCCACCCACTCTACAGAGCTTGTGATTTATGCTGCTCTCAGGTTCCTCTGGTTGCCGGTTGACGTGTGCACGCCTTGATTTCAGGCCATGGTGGACCTGGATCTGTGCATTAGGATGGTTTAGTGGTGTGAATGAGTCCCTTTATCCCCCTCCCCTCTTTTAAACACCAGGTACTGATCAGAACCTGTGTTATGTGAACGGTGATTTATACGTGTAAAGAGAAAGGGGTTGATGGGATGTTTCCACTCGCTTTGGTTGGCTGCGTTTCGCTAACACACCTGTGTAACTTTTACTGTTTAAAGTACTTTTAAGGGGTGGGGGAGTGCTGAGAAACAGGTTTGCGTGTAATTGCTTTTCAAAGGGTTGCTGAATAGTTCCAGGCAAAAAATTATACGTATATATGTATGTGTGTGTGTGTGTGTGATGAAAAGGGGGTGAGAAGGCATTTCCAGTCACTTTTTATACTTTGGTAAATGCAGAAGTAACAGTTCAGTGTAATAGGCCTGTACTTTTAAGGGGGGTGCATGTGTAAATACTATACATATATATATATATACAGGTAAATAGGGAGGTAAATACCATATAAATATATACGATTTACCTCTGTACAGATGCGTGGGCAGGAATATTCCTGGTTAGAACGAGCTGTGGTAAAACGTGGTCTCAGAAAGGGCGGGGGGGACGGGACGGGGACAGCTGCAGAATCCCCCTTTCTACCTCTCCCCCCTCAGCACATCAGCGGCCCTGCCTCGGGGTGGGGAAGCTCTCACAATTCCCGGCTCCTTCCCTCCTGGAAAACGGGATGGGAGAGCGCGCGGGAGGGGCGGCCCGGCGGGAAACGGCCGCTCCTTCCCTGAGGTAACCGCCCGTGTGCGGCGGGCTGGAAGGAGACGGGCCGGGGGCTCCGCGCGGGCTGCACGGAGCTCACCCGCGCTCCCAACCCGCCTCCCCGCCTCCCCGCCTCCCCGCCCCGGAACGCGGCTGCCGCAGCGTCCCCGCGGTGCCGGATGAGGCCGCCCTTCTCCTTCCGGGGCGCCCGCTATGGTCGCCGGGTTGGGGCGGAGGCAAGATGGCAGCGGGGTGGCTGTGCCGGCGGCTGTGCCAGGTGAGGCGGGAAGGGGATGAGTGTGCCCGGTTCTCCTTCATCTTTTCCTTCAGCGCCGGAGGGGAAGAAGGGAGCTGGAGCAGCCGCGGCGTTGAGAGCCTCGGTGGGCTCCGCCGGGCAGGGGAGGTGCGGTGGCTTCCCTTCGGCTGTGGGAGGGTTGGGGATGTGGTTCTTCCCCTCGCTGTCGGTCCTCAGAAGGCTGTTCTGCAGGCTGGTTTTGCGGCAGTCGCTGTAAGGGAGGGTGAATTAGAGGTAACTTGGAAGACATAGAGTCCTAGAACAGTTTGGGTTCAACGCTCATCTAGTCCAAGCCTCTTAAATGCTGGATGCAGATCAGAACCTGTATTGTATTGACTGTGATTTATATATGTAACACACGCACAGAAACGGGCGAAGCCCATCCGTTTCTAAAGTTTCAACTCTTGAAAGCTGTAATGTAAAAGACCAAAAAAAGGAAAACTTCTTAGGCTACCAGTGTTTTCTGCTGGTTTTGTTTGCTGAAGAGTGAGAAAAGTTTACCCTGGGGATTTCCTGCTCATGTTCTGAAGCCCTAACCTCTTTTCATCTGTATATGTGCTGTGTTCTGGGCTTGCTTGCCGTTCAGGCATGTGGGTACTCCAGAATCTGACACCCAAACAAAATGAAGGCTGTTTTGCATTAGGAGAGGGGTAATTTTGTTCTGTGTGAGGCCTTGTTTCACGTGGGAGATGGAGTTCTGGAAGTGTTGCAGTCCAAGTGTCTTCTTTACCTGCCATGATGGCCATTAGCAAGAGCGTGTCAAGTATGTTTAAACCCTTAAGGAGAGACCTCAGAGCAGCTCCAGTGCCTAAAGGGGCTACAGGAAACCCGGAGAGGGGCTTTGGACAAGGGCCTGCAGGGACAGGCCAAGGGGAATGGCTTTAACCTGCCAGAGGGGAGACTGAGATGAGCTCTTAGGCAGAAGCTCTTCCCTGTGAGGGTGCCCAGAGAAGCTGTGGCTGCCCCATCCCTGGCAGTGTTCAAGGCCAGGTTGGACACAGGGGCTTGGAGCAAGCTGCTCTAGTGGAAGGTGTCCTTGGCCATGGCAGGGGTTGGAACTGGATGAGCTTTAAGGTCCCTTCCAACCCAAACCAGTCTGGGATTCTATGAAAATATACTTTATTGCCTGCTGAATGCCATCTTTGCTACCTGGGGTACTCATCGTGTCATTTTGTCAAAATTGCACCGAGTACCTCTAATCTAGTTTACAAAACCTTTTTATTTGGTGCCTACGTGCATAACTAGTAGCAAAAGGAGATGACACGGGGGTGCACAGTCATGAAATGTTGTAAAGGCTGTGGAGCTTAGGATGTGGGACAGAACATCGTTACGCTTTGTTTTATTCATGATCATGTGATAAAGACTATAATTTTTGTATCCAAAGCCACATAATACAATATGATATGAGCGTACATACCTTTGCGTGCAAGTAATAAATCCATGTCACAAGGTAAAGCAGTTGGAAGTAAAATAATACATAGGAGAGACTGTACACACACACACACACACAAGAGGGATACTGCTTTTAGTTACAATTCCAACCAGTATTATATCTGTCATCTGGGGTCAGGTTCTGTGCCATGTCCTTGATTCACAGTTGCCCTGCAATGAATACAGTCTTTTATGCTCATGGGCCTGTCTGCTCCCTAAAGTGATGTCAGCTGATGATGTTAGTGTACTTCTTATTGGTGTTGAATGAAAGGGAGGCAGTGTTCTCACTTCAGAGATAGAGAATGGAGGTGCAGAGAACACGATGATTTTATCAGATTTATTTTTTTTAGTTTTAGGTATTAAGGCTCAAGTAGTTCCCAACGTGAACTTTGAAGCATTTGGAACGGTCATGAAGTATAGTGGCAGATGTTCTGTACTCCTGAAGTTGCTTATTGTGTCATGCACTTAAGAATGTAACACCAGCACTTGCCTGTGAGCATCTGGATCCAGAAGGCTTGCCTAAGGGGAGACATTGAGCTGTGCTCTCCAGACAAGAGGCTGCTTTGTAAATGGGACACTCTTCCTGCTGTCATCTTCCTTATTGGGTGCAGAATTTGTGGGATAAATAGCGAACGAGGCACAGTGATTTCAGAAAACACTTCCATTAACTGCTGATCTATAATTAATATATAATGCATACTGGAGAAGATATGGGACCTAATAGCATCATGTAATTACTCATATCCATGAGCTACTAAATTGAGTTTACCTGGAAAAGTGTCAATTTTGGCTGCTTTCTGATGTTTTGATCATACAGCCACCTACATAACTAATGTGTGGGATATGTGTCTGCTCTCTTTAAGCTGTGACTCTGGCACCTGTTAAATAAGAGTAGCAAGGGGCTGGATAAGTAGCTAATTTTGCTTCAGCATTCTGCTGCAGCCCCGAGTTTCTCTTAAGCAAGAGAGAGTTCTGGTTCCCCCACCTTTTTTTTTCTTCCCCTTAAATAGTCTGTAACTTTGCCAAATTGAGAATTAGTGGAAGGGAGCTGGAAGCCACATAATGTTCAGAAGGGAGCCATTATTTTAGTATGAAAGGCAGTAATGTTACGTCTTGATTAACAGTTGTATTCCCCTTTTAACACAGAAAAAATCATGTTATCTTTTAAATATGGCTCATTTACTTGTTAGAAGGTTTTAAATGTTTTCTTCAAAAGAACAAGTTTTCAAAACCACAAGGAACTTTCTGTTGCACTGTGCCCTTAATGTGTTCCCTTTTTTTAGGTGCTGTTGTATACTAAAATACATTTCTATACTTCTGTTTTCTGGCATTTTCTGATAAAGCAAACTTTTTAGTTTGGCAGATCAGTGCCTAGGAATGTGTTATGCTCTGGTGTGCAAAAAAGTAATCTTTAATAAACCTGTGTTAACCAGCTCATTTACAGCTGGGGAAAAAAAAACAAACATAATCTATTTCTTTTATACAGGGATCAGCTTTTCCTGTCAGTTATGCAAGCAGAATTATGCAAAAGCAGTGTTTTCTTCTGTAAGTATAAAAGGCCCTCCTTTCTGCTTCTCATCCACAATCCCGAAAAATATCCGTCTTTAACAACTTACTTTATGCTTTCCCATTACCACGTTTGTAGAAACTCCAGCTTGGGAGCACGACTGGCTGGATCCCATGTTGATACACAGGAGCCTAAGACTAATCCTTTGGTAAGTGTTTTATAGAAGGGTGTTTTGTATGTTGTCTTAGTAATAAAGAGGGCAGACAGAAATCTTCCTTTATTGCAGCTTTTTAAAGTTCTGTCTTAACGATGTCAAACTTGCCATGAAGAAAGAAATTTAGATTATTGGTATTTGAGATTTCCCCTCCCTTGCCCAGCAAGATTCTGTAGGCCACAGTTGCCTCTTAGTCACTGTTCTTGTTTTCTGTGCAGCTGTAACTCTGTGAAATACAACCATCTTTTTGGCCACACTCAGTTCAGTGCCTGCAGTATCTTAGGGTAAGGCCTTTGTCTCTGGCTTGGAAGCTGGGAGCCCAGGGCTGAGGAGGTGGGAAGTTCATGAAGGCATGAGCTGGTTATCTTGCTTTTAGAATCTGAATGCCTTGACTTTGAGGAGGACGTCAGAAGCACACGCTCAGTCTGTATGACATATGCAAGCTAGCCACAGTGTAAAGGCAGTACTAGATCTAAAGTACAGACCCAGCCTTCCTGCTGTGTCTGGTATGTGCTGGATTTACTGTGCTAAACTGTGTAAACTGGGAGTAAACTTGTGGGACAGTCTGTGCTTCCTGCACACATCAAGGTTTTTCAGGTTATCAGTAGCCCAGGCCATCAGAAGTTGAAAGTCAAAAGAACTGTAACTTACAAACTGACTTAGTAAAGTGAGACTTCTGGTTACTGTTGGTGATGTTCTAGTTACTGTCCGTATCCAAGTGAAGTCTGAGAGTTTGAGGTATGCTCACGCTGCTGTTTAAAGTACAAATGTTACTGCTCCAGAGTTGCTTTAACACCGACTTTCATTCTTGCCCTTGCTAATGTTGTCCTCCTTATCTGGCATTCACTTCCTTTGTCTGATCAAAAAATCTAATCTAAATGTTCAGAGGGTGGGTAGCTCTTCACGCTTCTGTTTTGCCTGGTAAGAGTGAGAACTGTCCATCAAGGTATTACTGCCAGCTTTTCCCAGATAAACTAAAATAAGCAGCTAGCAGTGGGGGCTTTTTCTTCTTTTACAAATGGGGCACCCAGGCTAAGAAAATGTGTGGGGCACGTGTCAGCTAAGGAGAGCGTGGAGTAGTAACTTGTGTCCTTTCTTTCAAAATGCAGGTATCTATTTCGGATGAGCCAGAAATACTGTACAAGAGATTATCCCTTCTAGTTAAAGGCCACGATAGAGCTGTGTTGGACAGCTATGAATATTTTGCAGTGCTTGCAGCTAAAGAACTTGGCATCTCTATTGAAAAAGTGTAAGTAACTGATCTGTAGAGAGATGTGGTGTCAGATGCTTCTTATGTCACTCCTGTAATTCAGGTTCTGTGCTTTTTTCAGAAGAAACAACGGTAATCTGACATGTTTTCTCAGATTATAAATCTTGCACTTCTTGGATGGCAGCACAGTGATGGGAAAGCAGCAGCAGTTCTACACTCTGCACTGCAGTACTAGAAGTGCATTTTAACTACGTGAAGGGTGTTGACAGTACTCTTAAGTATATTTGGCAGTGCTTTAGCTTCCCCGAACTAATGTTGGTTAATACCAGAGTATTAGCCATACCCATGTGCGTTAATTATAAACTTAACAGTGTCTAATACTTCCTTATAGATCTTCTAAGTAAGAACAAGGATTTCAGCCTAATTGTTCAAATAATTTGTATTACTTTATATAAAGTATAAAATTATATAAAATGACATTTTGTGCTTTGCTCAGATATAACCCTCCAAAGAAGATAGAACGACTGACACTCTTAAAATCCGTACATATTTACAAGAAGCACAGAGTTCAGTATGAAATGAGAACACATTACCTGTGTTTGGAGGTAAGAAAGATGAAAAAGAGCAAAAAAAAAAACCAAAAGCATGTTCTAGGAACACAATTCAAACACGTTAACAGATGTTAGTTCAGGAGTGAACACAAACCTCCTGGTTACTTGGGTTGGGGAGGAGAGTGCAAGGAATAGCATAGAAGAGCTGACCTAGGTATAGCCAATGTAACACAAGTTATTCTGAATGTACAGCCAACATAATTTTTTGGTTAAAAGGCTGATTTTGGCATCTTAACAGCTGAAGGAATGATTAAAAAAAAGGTAGAATGGAGGGTTATCAATATGTTTTATGTTCTTGCTGTCCAAGAGTAAGCGGGATGAGAGCAAGATGCAGCTAAATCATTGCCATTACTAGTCACCAAGGGTTCTCTTCTTTATGAGTTTGTCTGTTTTTGAAAATGCATGGCTTTGCCATATGCCAGTGTTGTGTGGTAAACTAGAACTGCGTGGGGGATATACAAGAAAGGAAGTGTGTACAAACCACCAGCTCTATGGCTGATGACACAGACTTGTGTATGGTTTAGAATGCAGCTGTGGTTGACTTTCTTAGAAGAAAGGTTTACTGCCTGTATTTTGTGGTTACTGGGTTTCTTACTGTAACAGTGCTTAGCAGAATGGGACTTGAAGTCCCCAGACGTTCATGCAGTACAAATGGCTGCCCACAGACCATAAGCACTGGCTTTGCTATCCAGGAGAAACTGGAAAATCAATAATTCAGTGGAATTCTGGAGTTCCAGGATTTGTAATAAGCGTGAACTTTGAGAGTATACAGAAGCCAGTAATTTTTGCATAACCTGTAATTAATTTTATCTGATATGTGCAGCGTTATGATCCACCCCTTCCATCATAATTAGTGCATTGTGGAGTGAAATAGCTACTTCCTACTTGTGTGAGAGTTTTGAACAGCTCAACTGCCTGTGTTCAGTGTTACGGCAGCTGCCATCCTGTAAGATGTTTGGTCCCATAGCAAGAGCTAGAGAGGCTTGGGCAAACCTTGTTTGTATTCTGTTTGTAATATTAATAATAGTAGCTCATTAAGAGAGCATTACTTCTGTTTCAGTTAAAATACATAACGGGCAGTACTGCTGCAGTTTACTTGGAGTATGTGCAACGAAACTTACCCGAAGGGGTGGCCATGGAAGTAAAAAAGGTAAGTTTCCACATCACATTATTAACTGTTATGAAACTACGTCCAGATGCAAGTACCAATAATTACCAAAGTCGTTAGCATCAGCAGGGGAAACGTGTTTAGTTTGGAAGGAACGTTTTCCAAACTATTGGAACAGTAGAGAGGCTGCATTGCTTGGAAACGTCACTAGGTGGCATTTCTAATCTGGTGCCTGTCTCAAACCAGGCTAAATGAAGCAAAGTAGTTAGGTATTAATCAGTTGGTATAATATATGATTATTTTGCTTCCCTTTTAGACTAAGATAGAGAAAGTACCAGAACACATTAAGGAACCAGTTTGGGATACAGCACCTCAAGTAGAAGAAACTCAAGTCAAGTCATGAACTTACCAGGTACTTGGCTCCATTGCTGCTGAAATTAGTCGCTTCTATCAACTTAATTTACTGAGATGGTCTACTGTTAAATAAAAATTCTTTTATAAAGTAGTTAATAAACTCCTGTTCCATCAAGTTACTCTTGATCACAACTCTAGTACCTGTAGACTGAGCAGCTGTAAAGTGAAGAAGTTTGACTGTGCTCTGTGATCAAGAACTATGGTCATCTGTAGTATGTTTGTAGAAAGTGAAAATTTGTTTTTATTTGTTATATATATATATATATGTATATATAGCTAAAAATCAGAATCTCCTTTTAACGGTAAATGGCTTCTGAATTCTGAAGTACTTGCAGAATCCACTTCATGTTTGTGCAATGGTTAGTTTTGTGGATGCCAGATGTTTTTTACTATAGCTCCTTTGAAGTAACTGAATCTCAGGTGTACATACAGCATGTAGATATGTACGTGCATATTACTTGTAGTAAGTCAAACCCCACAATCTTGGAGGACACTGAAGCATCCTGAGACTTTTCTAGGCTCCTACTGTTCCAATAGTCTCATTTCCAGTCTTAGTAACTGCTTCTTAACAGAAGAACACAGTGATCACAGTATAAATGTGAGACTTCCACAGGCTTCCATCACTAACTGAAATTAACTGCTTGTAGAACCGCATTGCAAAGCAAATGGTTACCAGGAGTGACTGTGAGTAGGACGAAGGGTGCACTGTTTTAGTTCACTACAAGGAAAGTTGTGGCCTTTTTCTCAGCTGCCTGGGTTGGTTATTGTGTAAACGTAGCCTAGGTGGACACTACTTGTGCTTAGAGGGGAAAAACAGTACAAATAGCAAATGAGCCAACTGCTTTGAAGGTTAGTTCACCATGAATCAAAGGAGATAATACTAGGTGCAAAGCCGTCATCTGTTGTACCTTCAGACTGCATTAAGCACTTCTACCTTTACTAGGTTAGAAGGAAGGACACAGCTGCAGGAATCTGCTCCAGTATTAAGGGAGTGCTCGGATCTGACTGCTATTAAAAGAATTTACGGAAGGAATAGCCAACTGGGTCACAGGACAAGCCAACTAGAGAGGCTGGATCGTTCTTCCCGAGCACTCAAAGCTCTATGCAGTCACAAAAGCAAAGAAGTCCAGTGTTGTTATCAGATAGAAATGGACATTCTTAATGGGAAACAGCTGGAAGACAAGAAACCAGGCTTGTGCTTGAAGATTATCTGCATTTTCTAGCTGTAGAGAGACCCAAAGCTGTTCCAGAAGAAATACTTCATGACAGTCAACAGTCAATGTTGCTGGTATCACTCGTGATAGAGAGGAAGCTGATAGAGCATACAGCTTCGTTGTATGTTGGGAAAAGCCAGTGTGCTTTCAGAGCGATCTCTGGACCTTAACTCTGTTTTCAGAGCTGTAGCTAACTGCCATCACAGGGCATCTCCACCCTGAGAAAGCAGAATGCCCTGTGCAGCATCTGGTGTTACAGACCCGTGTTGACTAACAGTGCCATCTACTAACCCCACTAGGCCACACTTCTCATCCATATGTTTCCCTGTATGAAACTTCCTCCCTTTTAAGATTGTGATCCTTCCCTGCATCCTCCATCTTCCCCTTCACATTTAGGTGTTTCCTAAAGCATAGCAACATCTTTGTCTTTATCTCTACTTATGCATTTGCATAACACTGTAACCGTGCAATACACTCTGATCATCTTTTGCTGTCCACTAATGTGGCTTCTGACTTTCACAGTATGGTTATGATCCTCATTTACAAAACTTTGGATAAACTATTTTCATTCTTCTTTTCCCATTCTTTTAACTCAGTTCTGCAGTTTTGCTTTCTGCCGCCTCAGGAAGTACCAACAGCAACACTCCAATCATTGCATTAGTGCTTGTCTCAAGTCATCTTTCTACCTACTGAGCTGACCGTATCATCTCATTTTCAATCAGAAAATTTTCAGTTGATTTTTAGAGGATGCTAATAAAAATGCCATGCTTCATACCACTTATAAGCATCAGTATCTGAACATGCTGCCTTGTGTTCTTGTGAGACATCCAAAGCTTACATGATTCCTGTCTGAATGCCAGCTGTTGTATTTATCCAGCAAAATTGCCAGAATTTCATGCCCTGAAGTAAAGGCAGCATATCCCACAGAGGATGTTCTGTGTATCCCAGCAAAGCATTCCTGCCTTCCTAGAACTCCAGTTTGAATCTGAAAGAGTCAAACCACTCTCAGTGTCAAAAGTCACATAAAGATGTGAGCACTTTCCCCTTAATGAGAGAGGGAGAGGATTTCAGTCATGGAACTGCACTAAATCCTGGGGATCAGTTCCATCACTTTTTTATGAAGGAAAGATGGATGGGAAGACTTGATGGCATGCAGTAGCAAAGCCTTGACTTTCAATATCCAGTAGTCTGCAGTCCCACCCTATAATCAGGACACAGATTCTGAATAGTGCTGCTCTTGCCCCAGCTCATACTTCATCAGTCCTATCTAGCAAACAACTTTAACCTAAGACAGTCGTTCCGAAGAGATTTTAAAAGGCTTGGTTAAGCCAATGCTCTGTCTTTCTAGATGAAGTTTTCCTATATATGAACTCAGGCAACAATAAACCTTCAACCTCATTACCTTTCTTTCCTTGCCCCCAGTTCAAGTTTCCCTGTAATCTACGTGTGGCATTCAAGGGTAGACACCTGTAGTCTGAAATCAGATCACACTCCTGCCCCTGTGCACATAGCTGTATTCTGTTCTAGCCTGCTGGTGTACTGTCACCGAGCACTTAAGAACATCTTTAATAGAAAAAACCTGAAAATGCTCAAGAAAACTGACAGACCGATGAGCAAGTATTTTATGCCATATTCTCTTATTTAAAGGGTAAGGCAGATAACTGAAACTATTTGCATTAACAGAAAGAAAATGGTCTTTTCTGAGTGGAGTTACTCACAGTCAGAAGACTGCTTTATAACCATCCTCCAGCTTGTAAGGGTAGGTGTCTAGCACTATCTGCTAGTATGAGAAAATGCTTTCCCAAGGGTCATAGCAAATAGATGCCATGTAAAGTTGTTACAAAAACCCACACAGTGGTAGCAAATACTAAGAAAAGTATCTTGAAAGCAGCTGCCGGATCCAACGGTGAAACTTCTTCATTCCATCAGTGGTTAGACTGTCTCAATCTGAATAGGAGCTCTGCTAAATATTGGCACTGAAACTGGCAAGTTTTTGAGTACATTCAGTCTTTAAAACCCTTGGGCACTGCCAGCAAGCTGGAGGTGGATTTCCTTCCACAAATACTTTGTGACTAACTGCTGCCAGCCTACTTCAGATGTCCAAAAATATACAGACCAGGATATTATGTAAACAAGATATAACAGCTGTTTATAAAACATTCAGGTCTGTAGAATGGTATAAAACTAAATCCAGAGCATTCACTGATCTTTCTTTTCTTTGAGCCATTGCAAAATTGTCAGGAAGGCTCTGCTTGGAGCCAGTTGTGGCAAAATCCTATTACTTGTGGATTAAAGATATTTTTAAACCAGTTTAAATTGCCCCGCATTTCCAAGACACCCGGTGTTCATTTGCATACGACCATAGCTTTCAGTGCAAAACCAATTAGTGAACAGTAACTTCTATATCATGTACTATGGTATTTAAGGATGTAGTATGAAATTACTCTCAGCATTTCATCTAAGTGCTCTAGAGCATGTTTCCCTTTCTTACGCACGCCAAGGGTTACCAGTCATGCTTGCAATGTTACCTCAGGTTTGGTTTCTATAGTTAGTCTTAATCATACCACTACAACTTGATTGCCTGTTAGCTTTAATCATAGAACCACAGAATAGTTGGGGTCGGAAAGGGCCTTAAGGTCATCCAGTTTCAACCCCTGCCATAGGCAGGGATGCCTCACACCAGACCATGTCACGTAAGGCTCTGTCCAACCTGGCCTTGAACACTGCCAGGGATGGGGCAGCCGCAGCTTCTCTGGGCACCCTGTGCCAGCGCCTCAGCACCCTCACAGGGAAGAGCTTCTGCCTTAGATCTAACCTGAACTTGCCCTCTTTCAGTTTGAACCCATCACCCCCTGTCCTGTCACTACAGCCCCTGAGATAGATTCCCTCTCCAGCATCCCTGTAGGCCCCCTTCAGACACTGGAAGGCTGCTATGAGGTCTCCACTTAATGTGACTATACAGCAAGCTTCTCTAGAAGCCTTTCCTGCCAGTCTGCATTTCATGTGCCAGGAAATTAACTGCTGTATTTTATTCCATGGAAGATACAGCCAGTCCAAGGGAATGTAATAGAAAGCTGTAGTTAAGTGCTTCAAGTCTGCTCTTGTCTTAGATCAAACTGCACTAAAACAGGCAGAGTCTAATATCTATCCCTTCAAATTAGAAAGTTGCGTTTCTGACAGTAATTTATATGCCAACCATGACAAATCCCTAAGGCACTCCAAGGAGCTCCTGTGACAGAATATCAGCGCACCAGGGAATGGGTGTACCACTGTGTGCCCATGTATATTCAGTGCCTCAACTGACCCAGTTTCTGTAAGATACAGGAATGGGATATTTCATTTACAGTAGGAATATGGAAAACCCTTTTAATTCAAGCAGTTTATTAGTCCAGGTCAGCACACAGAGCACGTTTCTATAACATTTTTCTACATGCTTTTGTTTGCGAAGCATTATGGGATTTGGGGTTTTGCATCTCTCTGAAAAAGAAGTTGCTGTCTCAGTTCAATCTGAAACTCCTCCCAAAGAAAAGACCTTTCTTTGGAAACACTACTGCATTAAAAGAAGCATCGTAGATAAACAGTGCATGTTTTCTTCTTCCTACTTCAATAAAATACCACTTTAGAGTATCAAAAAGCACATCTGCTGATGCAAGGGCTTTCATACATCAGCACATTATTATCACTCATCTTTCATTCCCTTCTGCCATCTAAATACTAACTCTTTGCTTCGGTATTAGAATCATAGAATCACGGAACAGTTAGGGTTGGAAAGGACCTTAAAGCTCATCCAGTTCCAACCCCCTGCCATGGGCCAGGACACCTTCAACTAGAGCAGCTTGCTCCAAGGCCCTGTGTCCAACCTGGCCTTGAGCACTGCCAGGGATGGGGCAGCCACAGCTTCTCTGGGCACCCTGTGCTGGTGCCTCAGCACCCTCACAGGGAAGAACTTCCAGTTCAAAATAATAGGGTTTTCTATGTTAGTTACTGAAAATATTTATAGGGCTTTTCCCCATAACCATTGGAGTACAAAGGTTTCACCTTTTGCTCAGAGAAGGTTAAAATACCTACTTTGTGGAGACACAGTGCCATCATAACCAACACCAACTCCAAAAATGTACAGCAACTTCAAATACCTAGAACTGATTAGAGCTGCTTTAGCCTGTGGTGGTCGTGCTGCTAAGAAATTACAGTAGAAGGTGTAGTTTGCCATCAAAAATCAAATGCAGTGGTGAATCTTTAAGAACAAAACTATCTTTCTGCATTATCCAAGAGGGGACGTGCAAAAATAAACCCATAGATTAGTTCAGTAACTACTTGGAAGAAAAATGAATGCTAGTATTTGAAACAGGATCAATTCTAAACTGACAAATTCTTCCCTAATGTTAGCACCCACCCAGAAGCAGAGGAAGTCAGATGTGTCTTCTCTTTTCTCTAGCATCTCATTCAAATCTAGACATTCACTTGGAAACACTTGATAGCCTGTCCCAGTGCAGGGTACCCAGGCTTGGAGAACGTGGCCTTACATGCTCTCTCCAATGCATTTTCAGCAAACCAGGCATGGATGTACTGCAGAACTAGTCTGGAATGCTGAAAAGAACATACCCGGTTTTTGTGGGTGGCCACAGGAGGCTTAGGGCTGTGTCTTCATTCCCTTCTTTCACCTTCAGTTTCCCATTTCTGGCACACAAGCTGGAAGGCACGTGTCCACCAAGCTGGCAGGTAACATGTAGCTGTTGTATTATAAATGCTTCCACATAAATGTTTGTGGGGTTGGGAGTTTTTAAACTAATGTTGCTATAGGCAGCCCAGGGATTCAGCCAGCTTTATGTGATTCATGTATCTTGGATCTTTCTAAAATGTTCCCCCAAAAAACATTTTGAGAGACATTGCATTTAAGATGGTGTCTTCCCCATATTCCGTGTTTTTTCAGTGTGTAAGCTTGGTAGTTCTTTAAAGAATACTAAGTTAATGGTATGAATACATTATAGTAACCACAGTGTAAGGAATTACAGGTTCAGTAAACATACCAGCCATTTTATTGCCAAAAGAATTGCAGCTTGATTTTCAACACCATCACTTGAAATACAGCTCACACTGGCAAAAAGAAAAACAAAAGCAGTGGCAAAGCAGTTTCTAAACTTAGTTTCCATCAGCAAAATAAGAATATTAGGCTAGATCTGGCTGGTTGAGAACAGATGTTTAACACAAAACCACCCAGCAGTTCTGCTCTTAGCTAAATTAAGCCTAAGCAAACAAGAAACTTGCATAGAGAAGTAAAAAATACTTGCCTGAATAACTTTTTCTTGACCATTAATTCCAGAAAGGGAGGGAAGAAGGAGTTTTAAAATTCTTGTCACCTTAAATACAGCCATGTTCTGCTCTTCCATAGTTCAGCGTAGCCCCTCCAGTTGGCTTCCAAGGGTGATTGTGTTACCCTGGTGAGGAGAATAGAGTCATTCTTTCACCAAGAAAGTCATGCTCCATCCTCACAGTTCCAGAGCCGGGCTAGTTCCAGAAGTGCTCGTGGTCTTGTGCAGAGGACCAGTTATGATACGTTAAGTACCCTGTGAGCAAGTGGAAGGGTTTGGGTTATTTTTGTGATAAATTTCATTTTATATTTCAAGTCAGCAGCTGCCAAACCCTGTGTCTGGTCATGGCTCTGCTTTTTTATTTTCACTGGTATTTATTTTCTTGTTATCCTCCACATCTATGCAAACAGCACAGCAAGGCAACGTCAAAGTAGTTATCTTTGTGTAGTGCCAGCTGTTACCTGGAGTGATGTCTAGAAAGAGGCAACAGAGAAGGTGAAGCAAGGGTAGGCTGAGGAGAAGGAGGGAATTAACTCCTCTCTCACCCTTCCCATTGCTTCAAGCCAGTATCTTGAGTTACGCATCTTCCTTTTACTACATGCCACAAAACAGGGTAAATACATCAATTAAATGTAGTACATAAATTTAACTTTATAACCTATATGCTACAGTCCATGGTGTAACTTACACTGCCCAAGTAACTTACAGCAAAACGATTTAAAGTTTAGCTCTCCATTGTGCATGTGGAGAAGGAAAGAGGGTGAGCAATACATTTATTGCATTATTCCGGTACATTTATTATCTAACTAAAAACAGAAACTAAAATGGAAGTCTGGCATCTCGCAAGGGAAAAGGCAAAAGTAGAACAGGAGGGATGAAGAAAGCATAAAATTGCTGCTGCACTGCTACCTGAAATGAGACAGAAGCACGACGGCAGCAAGCTAGCAGTGAGGAGTCGCTTACCTTCAGGTTAGTGGAGAAGGAAGCAGCTTTTATAACCCATGTGTGTCTGGAACGTCACACAGATACAAGTACTGAAGGTACACAGGTGGCAGCAGCACACTGCTGCTGACAGGGTTTAGTCGGGGCTGCCGACAGAATTAGGGCAGCAGAACAGATCACAAGTAATTCAAGGTTTTTGCCTCGGTTTTCTTTCCAGTATGATTGCTGGAATCAAAGATGCTGGCACTCAGGAGATCTGTAGAAAGAGCACTGTCAGTGTTACATTACCGTGCTAGCAACTGGAAGCTCCAGGGTACATCACAGGATTTCACTTGTTCCAAAATGCCACAGTTCTTCTTGCAGCTTGCTTCCAAACTGTGAAGGCGAGGGAGTGCTTGGCAATTGGGTTTCATTTACACCAGAGCTGTGGAGAGAGCCTCCGGGGAGCCACGTTCAGCCCTCCCGCTGCATTTCCCTTTCCCCACTGCTTCTTCTGGCTGTAAAGCCCTGGGCTGCGCAGGTGCCAGGCAGGGGATGGCTCCTCTCCCTGCTCCTAGCTGCAGGGATGACTTTAGGAGCACCAGGAATGACTTCAGGAGCACCAGGTGGTCTCAGCATGCACCCACCAACCTGCCTGTCCCTGCAAGCAAGGTTCAGCCTCCCGAGCACCTAGAGGAGTTCGTGCTGAGTCACACAGGAACACAAGGATATTGGGAAGAGACAGAACTTAAAAGCAAAGACATGGACTTGAATTTAGTTTCTTATTTGGCATAATGTCAGGTGGTTTCTGGGGGACATGTACATCTTTGCACATGCTAAAGCAGCATTAAACTTCACCCGTATGGCAGTGACCAGGGAGATGTTGGAAGATGTGGGGTTCAGTATGATTTCATTTGGAGCTTTTTTTTAACCTTTTAGGTTAAAGCAGTCTGAACAATAAGAACTCCTGCTGGGCCTCTCCCTCCTCCTCCTCTTCCTCCAGCCTTACTGCTGGAGTTTTCCCTGAAAACACAACTTTTTTTGCAGAGTGCACTGGGTTCTAGGGCAGTTTGGGAAGATGCTGTAGCGCAAGTAATATCTAGGAGAATACACCACTGCAGCGTCCCACTTCGCATGCAGAGGATCAGTCTCCAGGGTAGGCTGGGTTCATTTAATTGTTGCTGCTTCTGTACCCAGAGATCAGAAGTAGCACCACATCCATCTATAATGCTGCAAGAATTAAATGTTATTTGCTCAGGGCTTCCTCTTGATGCCTGTTTCCAAAGCAGAAACAGTGCTTGTCTGATCCTACCCCAAACGTACTGTTGGGGACACATCATGCTCATACTGTCCCACGGCAAACCTCCAGCTGCAGTGGATGCGATGCTGAGAGACAGACCTCCATCCGCAGTGGGTATGGTACAGAGGGCCAGAGCTCCGGCCGCGGTGGGTATGGTACAGAGGGCCAGAGCTCTGGCTGCAGTGGGTATGGTACAGAGGGCCAGACCTCTGGCCGCGGTGGGTATGGTACAGAGGGCCAGACGTCCGGCTGCAGTGGATGCGGTGCTGAGGGACCGACCTCCGGCTGCAGCGGAGACAAGCGGCGGCTCTTCCCCATCTCTTGTGCCACCCCCGCCCTGCCCTCCTTGCCCTACGCTTCCCTGGCTCCCGGGCCCGGCAGCACCGCGCCTGCCGGCAGCCACAGAGCCACCTCCGGCCCCACCGCAACGGCCACGGCGCGGCGCGGGGGGGCCGTTCCCGCCGCTCCCGGGCGTGCCGTACGGCAGCGCGACAGCGGCGCGCCGGGCGCGTTGCCGTAAAGCGCGGTGGCGGGCCGGCATGGGTAAGCGGCGCGGCGGGCGGGAGCTGCTGCGCGGGCTGAGCAAGAAGCAGAGGAAGCACCTGAGGGAGTTCGGGGAGGAGCACCCCTTCCATGACAAGTGAGTGCGAGGGGCTCGCTGCTCCCTTGCCGCGGGGTGCGCCGGGCAGCGGCTGCGTGCGGCTCCAGGCCCCTGCAGTCCGGCCGGGGCTGCGGCCTCTCCCCTGAGGGGAGGAGGAGAGGTGGGGGGCGTCTGCGGCCCCGCAAGGAGGAGGGGAGGCAGCGAACGTGGTGAAGTGTTCTTGTGCAGCCCGCAGCCTGCCCTGGGAAGCGGGACTCCTGCTCTGACCCTGGGGCGGTCCCTTGGCTGGCCAGAGCTCCGGCTTGCCCCCCGCTGGTACCGCATCCCGTTCTGACCTCGTAAACCAGAGCATCGTGGGGCTCGTGTGGTAAGATCTGCCTCAGCGGGATGCCTGTCTGTCAAAAAGGGCACCACGCTTCTGGCCCGCCACGTAAACTTGAGAGGAATGAGCTGTTTAGTGCAAGTACTATGTGATGTGGTGCTGCTGTAAAGTCTGAAAGCCTGCGAGGATGCTGCTGCCCAGTCCTGTATTCAGTTTAATACTGCATGTCTTTAGTAGTAGGGAAATAGTGCTAAGGAAAGAGTTGAGGTTAGTTCAGGCCCAGCTCGTAATGTCTTGTCTGCAGAATCACAGTCCCCACGCTGGTTTCCCAGTGCTGTTTTCCCAGCGGTACATTCCTGTTTTCCCACTTTGCAGATCAATAGTTAAGAGCTAGAGGCAGGCTCTTGCTCTGCTTAACTTTGTTGTATGAACTACCTTTGTAGTTAGATTCCTTGGATTCCTTTTAATGGCCCATCTTCCGATTCACACCAGGGTCTGCTTTGAAACATTCCATTTCTTGATCAGTTATAATGCCTGAGCACTTAGGCTTCATGTAGAGCGTAGCATCACCTCAGAGGGTAACCTCTCAGGGTAAGTGCCAAGTCTGTTTTCTTAATTGTGTGATGCTTTGATTTTATGCTCTCTTTTACGCTCTCTTTTACGTTTTATAAGACTCGTGTAGTGCATGAATTCCTTCTCCCCCTCATCTCTTTCATCCTGTGTATAACATCCATGACAGAGTAAAGTATTTCAGTGCTTTCTCTTCAGGGTTCCGGGAAGACCAGAAGCAACTCAAGTCTGTGAACTGGTAATTGATTTTTATTTCTTCCTTACTTCAGTCTTTGTGTTGTCCAGTGAAGTGGAACAAGTGGAACACTTGGCATTTTATCTTACCAAGCTACGCAAGCTGATTAAGTTGTTCCCTTTAGAAAACCTCTGTTCAGGAGTAAAAACTGAATGTCTTTTTTGTGTGGCTCTGAATTGTTCTCTGTGGTGTGTGTAGACTCAAAACTAATACCATGAGAGGGCAGAAGCAGCAGGAAATACCACAGCTGTTCTTGGGGATTTTGCATTTTACTTAGCCACATTGAAAAGTAAATCATTCTGTGAGTTGTTTTAATTATATTAGTAACTTTAGTGTTGCATGGGTTAGGAGGTGTTTCATTCTTTATTGAACAAAGAAACGTGCTCTCTCCTCTCCCTCAGATTGCCAGTGCTTTTTTTTCAGGGTTCGGTAACCTCCTTTATCTTCAGTTTATTAAAAGACTTCAAAGTTTCAGTGTGGAAAAATTACTTATTCTGGTTCATTTGTTTCCTTTAGCAATTTTGTGCATCAGTATCTTATCTACTGGTTTTGCCTTTTGGGGCTGAAAGGAATTAAGAAAGGAGTAAATGGTGCTGTGGCTGTACTCCTGGTTTTACTCTAATTCTGCCTATAACCTGGTGTACTTGCTCGTCTGTGCTAGCCCAGGGCAGAACTGGCCCAGGAAAGAACTGGTTTTTTGAAGGTTAGAGCTTTACAGCTGAGCCAGACCTGACCGACTCGCCTGTGAATTGTTGTCAACCAACAGCCATGTCACCTCCTTGAAAGCCAGAAGCGTTTTCAGTGCACTCTGTCCCTAGTGTGTGTGCCCTGGTTTTGTTCTGTGTGTGGTTTTCTTAGGAAAACCCAGGGCCAGTTCAGTAAATGCCTTGTCAGTGGAGAGTGATCGTACTTGCTCAATGAGACCGAAAGAACCACATTTTGTGATGCTCTTAAATCAGTGTAGAACGAGGCTCTTCAGCCTAGGGCTACAAAGATGCTTTCAAAATCCAAATGGAGGTGCCCAGCATAACTATTTGCTTAAAATGGTGATTTTTGAAAAAAATCCATCTGCATAAGGGAGGGATGGAACAGGCAAAACGTAACGCTGGAACTAGAAGTGAGGGTATTTGCCTTGTGGCTAATGGAGCGTTGCTGCTACGCTGGTGTTTTCCCTTCCAGTCTGACAGTTCTGATAAATCGAGTGCGGAAAGCGATTCGGAGACTGAAGTGGAGCAGGTCTCTGTATATCATAAGCTCCTGGCTACCCTGAAGACCTCTCCTGAGTCTGAGAGTGAGGAGGAGGAGGAGGAAGATGAAAGTGAATCAGAAGCTGAGGAAAGTGAGACAGAAATGGACAGCGAAGGGTCCCAGGAGAGCAGAGAAGCAGATGGCGGTGGAGAAGATCAGAATGATGTACCAGAGCAGGAAGAAGGTAGTTTGTCTTTTTGCATGCTTTGGTAAACGTTCTTGCAGTTAGGAAGTTTGAATAACATATGTTTTTAGCCAGGAGCCTGGTGTAGGCTGGCTTGTTGGCTGGGCGCTCTTCTGGCGTGGAGCTGCTGCTACTCCATTGCCTCTGTGTGGCTGCCGAAGGATTCAGCAGGGAGAGAGGGTAGCTGTGCTTATTTCCCAGCTGACAGCCTGCTGCTGCTTCCTCAGATGTTGTTTGGGCGGCAGCGCAGAGGAAATCCACATGGAGCAGCACACCAGGGGTTCTCACCCACTCGGGGGAGATGCAAGCTGTTCTCTCACACAGCATCTGCCTCGGCTGCTGCCGCCAAGAGGAGGGAAAGGTTTGCCTCATAGCAGAGGAAAAAACATGGAAATTGGAAGGAAACCTCCTCCTTTATGATGAAGTATCTTTATTCATAAAAACTGCTAAGAAATTCTGGGAGAGGGGAGAAAACTTTTTATTATTTTCAGTTTTTTGAGGTCTTTGGAAACTGAAACTTGTATTCCCTAAATAGGTTCTGTCTCTCATTTTCTCTGGAGAGACACATTGTGTATTATGTAACATTTGGCATGCTAGTCAAAAGTCATCTTTACCGTGGAATACAAAGCCTGCTTTTATTTCTTTGGATAGAGCATTGGAAGAAAAAGGAATAACCTAGCCAGGGAGAGGTTAGCTACACACGGTAACTTTTCCAGGAGGATGTAACCCATTTCTCTCTATCCCTTCACAGCTACAGACACGGCAGAGCAGACGCCTAGCCAGCAGCAGGCTGATGGCATAGATACCTCTTGTGACCCTGGTCATGGAGTAGTTGAGGAGTTTACTGATGTGAAACATGAATCTGAATTTAGCTTGGAAACCAATTTCATGGAAGAGGAGAGTGGAGATTGCAATGCAGATAAGAGAGATGGCAGTTCTTCACAAGCTTTTTCAGAAGGTAAAATGCAGTATGTTTGTCTTTAGTGATCTGCCTCTAGAGGAGGATCTGTAAACATGTGTAAATTATCAGATGCCTAATGATACGCTATATAGCTTCTGAGTTTTTCTGCTACATTATTCATTGTGGTGCCCACATGTGAGCTGATTCCACAGGGATTGCTTGACGCTAATGCAGATGTGTAGCTGAACCATTTGTTTCTGCAGCCCCTGTGGGCTGGGATTTTTGTGTAGTTTCTGTTACGATCAGTAAAGCTTGAAGTATCAGGAGCTAGAAATGTACATGGAGGGTGTTGATGTGTTCTGTTGCTTTAATACAAGTGTAAAAAGCTAGCGTAATACGAAGGGCCCTGCAAGTTTGCGCTTGACTTTGGAAGATATTCTTGGCACAGAGAGCACAGGAGATAATCACAAAGCTGACCTGTGAGGGCATCCTTCACAACTCAGTGGAGGTAGAGGTGAGTTTTCAGAAGCTTGGGGCAGCCACAGTAATTGAGACAAATGCTGAGGCTCTCTGTCAGGTTTTAAGGTGATACAGAGGAGTCCAACTGCACCAGGATCAGGAAGGCATAAGGCATCAGTGGAGCCTATGTGGTACCTTCTAAAGGCGTAGCCCGGAACCTCAGTGCTGCAGTGTGCTGATGGGTACAATCAGAGCTCCAGTGTTGGAGCCATCCCACCATGTGTGATACAAACACCTGTGTGTACACGTGTGTGATCGTTCGGGGATACACCACATGTTGGCACCTGCAGAGCTTCTCTTCGTTTTTCATGCTCTCTGGTTTTAATATCAGCTGGCATGGTTTGAGAGAGAGAAATATGTCTTGTAGCATCCCTAGTGATGCTGGCTTGTCATCTTGGAGCAGCAGCTGCCATTGGATCTGGGAGGCAGCCTAGCTGATACATGAAATGTGTGGAAGCATCAAAGGGCCATGTGATAGAAAAAACAGCTCGTTCTTGTTACCATGAGAATATTACTTAGGCTGTTGGCATTGCATTTTAATGAGAACTGTAGCTCTCCAACTGCATGCTAAGTATCCTAACAGCTTTGTTCAACCTATAAATGATGCACTACTTTTCAGTGGGTTCCTGCAGCTTGGAGGTGGCTTTATAATTCATTACAGAAAATGAGTCATGTAACACAGCAGAGAGGGGACAGATTTCTCCTCTGGTCCTGAGGTCACTAGAATTCCTATAAATGCTTCACTCTGTTCTCTGTACTTTATCTGACCAATGCTGCAATCTATGAAAGTCAACTGAAGAGACAGCCTGTATTACAATTAAATGGCACCCTGTTCACTTGTGTTTCTGGGAAGACTTTCCTAACAGTGTCATGATGAGCAACTGTCTTGACTTTGGCCTGGGTAACTTGCACGTGGGCTACTGATCTGTTGGCAGGCAGTAGTGTTCTCTAGTTGGTTTGCTTTATGCAGTGAGTGCTGTTGTGCTGCAAGCAGTATACAGGGCTTGGGTTTCAAAAGAAGCTTTGCATGTGACTCTGTGCATGCCAATATCTTTGAATACAGCATGATTTTACACTTCCCTGCCCTTCCTTTCCTTTCCAGAAAGAAATGCTGATTAGATAAATCAGACTTTTGCTCACTTCTGGCATTTTTTGTCTCCCTTCCCAAAATCCACTTAATCTTTCTGTATTTTATCACATACTGTACTCATATCACTGGCCAAAGATGCAAAGCCCTGGGCAAAACTGCTTATAAATTAAGAAGGGCAGTAAGTTCACTTGAAGTCTTTACTGTTGATAGCCTGTTTCACCTGCAAGGGATGGATGTGTCAGAGCTTAAGGCAGAAAATTGCCACGATGTTTTCTGCTATATACTGCTTTCCTGTCCAACCTTTGTTTTGTGATTGAAAGTTCTAGTACTTCCGTAAGTGCTGCCTTTTTTGTTTTTTTTCTTCTAAGCAATCTGTCAAATCTGTTCTCTCTGTTCTTATAAAGAGAATTTGACATCCTTTCGCTCATCTCCAAGTGCTTCAAAATAACTGGTTTTAACTGTGGTGCTGGCCAGCATGGAAACTGTTTGTCTCATTTGCAAATCGATTCTGAAACTTGCTTCTAGTATTAGCTGCATGGTTCTCAGGACATTTTTCTGTTGTTGTTGTTACAAATAGATCCATTTAAACAACACATGGACAAGGAACTCGAAGAAAAAGATGTAGAAAAAATGTCTACTCTTCCTAAAACTTCAAGTCAAAGCCAGGTAACAGTGTTCTGTAGCCATCCAGAGCTCCTAAATCCGGGATTAAAATCGTTCTTTTTTGTACAAGTTAATTCATAATTGTTAGTATTAGCTGTTGGCATTGTAATTGTCAAGGTTTTGTCACTGTCTTGTTGCTGAAGTGTTCTCCTCTTCATTTAGTGCTGGGCAAGAGCTGAAATCTGAACTCTGCTGTTATGTAGGCATAAGGCAACAGAGCTGAGAAACATCGCTTTAGAGTTTGAGCTGTGGTCTCAAACCCCCAGTTTTAGTGCTCTTGACTCCAGGTAGGACAAGACTGGTTTCTGAGTGTTAACTGAACACTGCCAGGTTGTGCTCTGTAACTGAACTTGTGAGGTGACCATCTACAGTCTTATAAGTACCTGTGGTGCACTTCCATGTTCTTTGGGATGACTGCATCTCCGTATGCATTGACAAGCCCGTAAAGGGCAATTTAACACTTTACTTCACCCGTTATTTCCAGTATTAACAATATTAGCACCAGAAAAGCACCTCGTTGCTTGAGAGAGAATATTGGTTTTCAAACTACTCATTTTCAGACAAACCTTTGCTTCCAAACTTTTTTCACATCTGATTCTGTTTTGGAGAGTTGCCTTGCATTCTGGTCAGCCATATGCTGGGTGACAGTCCCTGGAAGATATCCAACGGTTAGTCAGTCAGAGAGAAAGCTGTGATTTGTTTAACTCTTTTTTTTTTTCTTTCATTTTTGGAATATAGAGGCCAAAAATACCAGTGCCACCTGAAGCAATGTGTGATATGTCTTTGCCTAAATTGGTGTAGCTGTGTTACAGAGATAGGTAGGGACAACTTGCATGGCAGAAGGCTTAAAGTTTAATTTTCCCCTACTACACTGATAGTTTTGTTCTCAAAATCAGACAGACTCAGACTGCATATAGCAACTGAATCACGACTTCTGCATTTATTCCCTGATGGGGTTCTGGTCTCATCTTTAAACAAACTACATACCTCAGTGCGGCTCATCTGTAAGTCTGCTCAGACTCTCATCTTGCCCCTGGTGTGTGCCACTGATGTGCTGGGTGGGTTAGGCAGAAAGGTCATCCTTCCTCTTGTTCAGGTTTCTCATCTGTAAAATGAGGATGGTTGTAGACACATCACTGCAAAATACACGCAGATCTGCTGAGCTCAGGTATCTTGTTATTTACCCTGCCAGGCTTGAAAAGAGATTGCATATTGAAAAAAAAAAAAAAGGTTTTGATTTGTCTTATGGAAAGATAATTCCTCAAAGTTCATGAACTTGGTGAAGGTGCCAGCTGTGGTGCTGAGAGTGCATGAGTTTGGTACATCTGACTGCTTTGGTTTTGTTTGCTTGTGGTTTTTTTTTCAGTGGCCAAGGCTGGGCCAAGTGACGTTTTCTTCCACTTTGGAGAAACCCAAAGCTTTGAAAGCAGACAAAGAAGTTGATGTGAAGCAGCTTTATCTTCACAAACCTTTAGAATCCACTTGGCCAAAAGTGAATAAGCAGTTTCTGTCCTCAGTGAATAAACCGAGTGATGCCTTTTTTACCCCATTACAAAGAGAGCTCTTCTGTATCATGAACACATACCGGGACTTGTTCTATCCAGAAAGAAATGCTTTAACCAATGGAGAAGAAATCCGGCATGCTTACTGCTTGCATGCCTTGAACCACGTTCTGAAGGCAAATTCCCAGGTGCTCAGCAACAATGCCAAAAAAAGAAACCAAAAGCCAGGGGCTGACAATGATGACCACAGAGATCAAGGGCTCACTAGACCTAAGGTAAGGGAGCTTCATGAATGTGATTTTCCCCCCCATGCCCACCCTGGCTTTCTGGTCAGGCTCTATAAACATCCTTGGGGTTTATCCAGAGCTGTTTCTCTTGCTGCTCTCTCAGGTGATCTGTTCTTGGGCATGGGGTTTTCCACATGCATTTATCGTGCCTGGAAGTCACCTGCCATGGCCCTGCAAGAAGCAGTGAGCACAGGGTTGTTGGTCAGCCTGTTTCTGTGCTCAGAGCCATGAGTTTGATTTACCTCTTCCTTTGTCCCCCTGTCACTGGAGGCTGACATGTCACCTTTTCCTGCTTCTGTTTCTAAATCTCTCAGTACAGAAAGGTGCCTCTGCATTAATCTTCAGTATTAGTGCAGGTAGTGTAGGCTGTCACGCAGTGTGGGATGTCCCAGGAAATTTTTTGTCCTTAGGCACTCGCCTGTGTGGAAGGATCTTTCTGTAGGTGGGAGACCTCAGGGAATCCCAGTCCCATTGTCAAGGCTGCCCGTCATAGTTGGTGGAGCGGGCCTTAAACCAGTGCTCCCTGGATTCACAGCATCCTGTATTTGGTAACCAGGTGGATTCAACAGCAGCTAGCTTGTCACTGGTGGTACCAGCTACCTGTTGAACAGGATGGGTTGTGGTGTGGACTCCCCAGTTAGATACTTAACATTTCAGAATGCTGTGCAGAGACTCTTGCCACCCATCCAGGAGCCAGCCACTGACTGTGGCTGTGTATGGTGGGAGCTGTTACTTGCTTGGGGGTTAGGGAGAACAGGAGAACGTGCTTTGTTTTCAGTTCTGCTGTAATGGCATCCTGGGTGCAAGATAGGGAGCCAAATATTGCTGCTGGCCAGTACCTGTTCTTGAGCACGCTGTGTCCCAGAGCATGCTGCCTCCTTACTGCGTGTCAGAGTCGTTCTGTTTCGATTGCTGGGGTGCCCCAGAGAGGCAGATGTAGGTTAAAACCGTTACTTACCTCAGGGTTAACTGTGAGTGTATGTTTTATGGGTTATTCTGTTGTAACTTTTGATCTACACAGGTACTGATGATAGTGCCCTTCAGGGAGTGTGCTTTGAGAATTGTGCATATTTTCATCAGTCTGCTTGAAGTGAATGACAAAAGAAAAATAGATGTAAGTAATAAAAAACGCTTCAAAGGGGAGTTTGGCTCTGACCCAGAAGAGAAGCCCCCTAACCTGAAAAGACCGGAAGATTATGAAGCTGTCTTTGCTGGCAACATTGATGACCACTTCAGAATTGGTAATGATGTACTCAGCAGATGATTTTTACCTTCTAAAGAACTGAGAAGTAACAAGTTCTACCTAAATGTCTGGCTCAGGGCTGGGCATTCTGTTAAGGCTCTGTGGTATTCATGCTGGTTTTGCACTGGCAACTTGGATGTTTCTGAAAATCTGAACTTAAAAATGAAGTGGAACTCCAAAAGTAGTGATTTTCACATCAAGTTCAGTATTGCTTAAAATGCAGTCATTGTTTGATTGTAGCAAGATTGCCCACACTACATTTTAAAGAGTATAACTTTGATTATGCTGCAAAGTCTTCCATGCCGGGAAAGGAAACCAACAAATCTTTGGGGTTTAATCATCCAGTTCACAGTGTTTCTTGTAATGGATAATGATTAGAACAAACGTAAAGCTCAGTATTGAGCAAAGCGGTTTTCTACTGTGCTGCCCATGGTTTTCATGAAGGCAGAGGAGTAGCCAACAAGACTGTTGGACAAGCAGCAACTCTGAGGCTATTTCATAATATTATAATCTCATGCTGCTGGAGTAACTCAGCATGCAGAGGATCGGCTAGTGCTTGCTTCCTGGAGCTGCCATGATGAGTAGGCAGTTTTTCTAACTTGGCAGATCAGAGGCTTTTGAAATTACTGTTTCTTAAGAGGTAAATTGACATCCCAAGAAATTCCATGATAGAGTGGAAGATGGCAGCAGGTCCCACTCAGTCGTTCTTCCTTCCCCCAGTGAGTATCTCTGGCTGAGAGCTTCTGACTTTCAGCAGCATAACAATTTTCCTTTCAGCCCTCTCTCGTACCAGAGTCTGCTTGATCCACTTCCTAGATGTGAAGAAATGCTTGGAGAACCTTTCAGTGCTGTTACTTGCAGAATAGTTATTCTTTCTTACTGTGCCTCACACCCCGTTACTTCTGCACAAAGATCTCATTTAAGACACATTTGTTAGGCTTTACCAAAACCAGCCTTTCACATTTTTAATCAGAAAGAAAAGATGTGCTGTTGTTAAACTGTGAGAAGTGAGATCTCTCTGGAAATTCAACCAATTTTTGGGTTTTTTTGACCATTTTTATCATTGGGTTAAAACAGATCACAGGAGAGGTCCCTGGTGCTGTCTGTGTGACAGCCTCCACCCGTGCCCATGGTAGTTGGCTTCACATGGGGGAAAGCTGAAGCAACACCTTTGTTGGGCAGACTGTAGTGGGTGGTTTGAACATGGGCCAGACTACCTGGATTTTTAAATCAGAAAACTGGATCCTAGCAGTGTTGCCACACAGGAAAAAAACTCCTTTGATTCCTTTGCTTTTCCTTTGTTTAACATCAGAGGTGATGCATAAGGTACTTTGGCATGTGCACTGCATCATGGGGTGTGAGAAGCAGTGCAAGGGAATCACCCAGACCGGTTTGGGTTGGAAAAGACCTTAAGATCATCCAGTTCCAAACCCCTGCCATGGGCAGGGACACTTCCCACCAGACCAGGGTGCTCCAAGGCCCATCCAGCCTGGCCTTGAACCCTGCCAGGGATGGGGCAGCCACAGCTTCTCTGGGCACCCTGTGCCAGTGCCTCAGCACCCTCACAGGGAAGAGCTTCTGCCTTAGATCTAACCTGAACTTGCCCTCTTTCAGTTTGAACCCATCACCCCTTGTCCTATGGCTGCAGTCCCTGATGAAGAGTCCCTCTCCAGCATCCTTGTAGCCCCCTTCAGATACTGGAAGCTGCTCTGAGGTCTCCCCGCAGCTTCTCTTCTCCAGGCTGAACAGCCCCAGTGTTCTCAGCCTGCCTTCATATGGAGGTGCTCCAGCTTATGCTTTCAGTTGTCATAACATGAAGAACCTTTTCCTTTGAGTTTTAGTAGCCACTCTTGTGGCCTTGTGGATAAAGACAGTTTATAGTCAAGAGGTCCACACTGAATCTTTCGTGACAGATGAAGGTAACAGTTACTCTAGTACCTAATGGCAGAGGCCAAAGTTTAGGATTTAGGGAGAAAGGAGTAGTTAATCATTTGTGCCCTTTTGTATCCTTCTTTTTTCTTACCTTTCTTAACCGCTTCATCTCCCTTTATAGCAAAAAATCACACACACAAAAAAAAAAGGGTGTTTCAGATAAAAAATGTCCAGGCCATGAAAAATCTGGGGAAAAAAGTGCTACTGAAAGAGTTTGCTGAGCTCCGTGAGAATGTGCCAGATGCTTGTTAGTTTGGGTGTGGGGTGGGTAAGCATCTTTAGGCAGAGAAGGGTTTGGAACAGATTGGCTTTGTCCAGCTCTAATCATTAGTGGGTGTTAAGGGAGAGGGAGTGTAGGGAGTTGCAGTTAGAACCTGCTGGAAGAATATGGTTGGTGATAGACCTTAACTAAGAAACTGCTGTTGGTTGTCGTTGGACAGGGGTTGCCATCCTCCAGAAGAGCATGAGGCTCTATGCACCGTTCTACTCCTCGGATATCATCATCGCCTCTCCCCTGGGAATGAGGACTGTCATTGGGGCAGACGGGGAGAAGAAGAGGGATTTTGATTTTCTGTCATCAATAGAAATTCTCATAATCGACCAAGCAGATATTTACCTGATGCAGAACTGGGAACATGTTCTGGTGCGTTGTCCCTGTGGATTTCAGTGTTGCACTGTGTCTTGTTAGTCTGATGGGACTTAGTTTTGGCGGTGAGCAGTGTTGCTAGATTTACTGACTTGATGCCAGACATGGATGCTTGTTCTTTTTCCTCCCTCCACCGTGATATTTGCCTTATACTAAGAATATTCTTTCTACAGATTTTGGTAGCATTCAGCACCTGTTCTCTGGAAATCTTAGTATTTGGTGCTTTAGTGGCATATTTCATCTGAGACTGTTTTTTATAGGTTTAATTATCTTGCAGAACAGTATAATGATGATTCCTTTAATCACATCTGGGAGAAAATATGCCCAGTGCCTCGGTGTGAGGATTCTGTACATCCTCATTCAGGTTCTTCCAGAAAGCAATAGGAGCTGGGGCTTGTCTCCACTCACCACATAGATACTAAGCACTAGTTATGTCCAAACTTAAACAGTGTGGAGATGTCCCATGAGCCTGCACGGTATCCAAGGGATGAATCCTGGAGCCTGTTTCCTGTTGGTTTGTTTCTGGTTTGTTGAGGTTTTTTCCTTTGGGTGCAGCTGCCTTCCCTGCAGCAGCAGCAGCAATGCCAGTCTGAGGCAGCATTCGGTGAGGACAGGTCCTTCACTTGCACCCAAACTCTCCGTGGATGTGATGGGAACTGCATTTGGGGTTCTTTTAGCTCAGAAACTTTGGGCCCATTGACTTTAATACCAAACCCAAATCCATTATACTTGTCCCATCGGAGAAGGCTGGGAGCAAAAATCACTGTTACTGATGACTAAAGAGATGGTGGCTTTCAGTTCTGTGGTGGGAAATCAAGTCATTTATTCTTGCTGTAGTCAATCAGTTCCATTCAGCCATGTCTTGGGAGATCAGCACTGGTTTATGTATTCTGTGTTGTCTGGCTCATCCCTGCCCGCTTTCTCACTGCTGCTGAGGCTCTTACAGACTGGTTGTGAGGCTGTCAGTCAGCAGCTGTGTTCCCATCTCTCTGCGCAGCACCTGATGAAGCACGTGAACCTGCTGCCTCTGGACTCCCACGGGGTAGACTTCTCCCGGGTGCGGATGCTGAACCTCAACAACTGGTGCAGGTACTACCGCCAGACGCTGCTGTTCAGCGCCCTGCAGGACCCCCAGGTTAACTCTGTCTTCAACAAACACTGCTTCAATTACATGGGGCAGGTGAGTTCCCAGGGGAGCTGAATGCTTCCTTTTAAATGCTGGCCTAAGGGAGAGGAGAGGAACACAAAACCCAACGCAGGGAAAAATTCCATAACTCAGTTGCAGAAAGACTGTCTATGTGCCAATCGTTTCTGTTACCCAAGTAGTTCTGTCTCTGAATGTCCATGATGCTGCACAACAATTTCTAATGCTGGGCCAAAAGCATGAAGAATACTCTCTTGCAGGGATACTGACTTGATCCTTTCTTATTTCATCGGTAGATTTCATGTCAGAAACCAGATTCTGTTTTATTCTTAATTTGGCACACACCAGTTGTCTGGGTTTATTTATTTATTTGATTTCTTTTGCTGTGCAATGGAGGGTTTGCCTTCTTCCTTTTTCTTTTCTGCTGTTGTATAAGAAGCATAAAGCATTATTACTTTGAAAGAAACAAAGAAAGTGAGACCCTTCATTGTCCATCTCAAGTATATGGGTGTCAGGGCAGAAGTGGTGGTCCTGTATACTTAACAGGTCTGGTATGTATATATCTGGTCTGTGTAGAGCAGCCTTCTAGTGTCTGAAGGGGGCTACAGGGATGCTGGAGAGGGAATCTATCTCAGGGGCTGTAGTGACAGGACAGGGGGTGATGGGTTCAAACTGGAACAGGGCAAGTTCAGGTTAGATCTAAGGCAGAAGCTCTTCCCTGTGAGGGTGCTGAGGCGCTGGCACAGGGTGCCCCGAGAAGCTGTGGCTGCCCCATCCCTGGCAGTGCTCGAGGCCAGGTTGGACACAGGGGCTTGGAGCAAGCTCCTCCAGTGGAAGGTGCCCCTGCCCGTGGCTGGGGGCTGGAACTGGATGATCTTAAGGTCCTTTGCAGCCCAAACCATTCTGTGATTCTATATGGAATGTAGTTTGTACTGGAGCTCTCTTAAAGAACAGCCTGTGCACTGCTGCAGACAAGAGTGGCAAGCAGAAAGCTGGCTGGAACGTGGCTGCCTTTGAAATGCTGCTTCCCTAATCATCCATCCTGCTTCCTATCCACAGGTGGCCGTCCGCAATGTACCGCTCAGCGGCTCCATTAGCCGCGTTGTGGTCCAGCTTCCTCATGTTTTTCGGAGGCTAGAAGCTGAAAGTTTGACTTCTGTCATAGATACAAGGTACTCTGTGTTCCAGACTATGTTGCTGTGCCCTAATGATTGCAATTTCAGATTTAGTTGGGCATACTGTTTCCTGCAGGGCACAGTGTGATTGCAGCATAGAAGTATGCCTTCATTAGTGTTCAGATGCAGGCAAGGTCCTGCCCAGGGAAGACTGATCTTCTCCTTGCCAAAAGCACTGGAGAATAGGGCTTAGGAGAGGAATACCAGGCTCTACCATAACTGTGTAGTACTGATAAAGCCTTTGCCTTTTATCTCCTACACGTGTAGGAATCCCATGATGTTAAAGGCAGCAAGCTATAGTCAAAATCTTCTATAGTCTGTTTTCTCATGATACTCCTGTTTGAGCTTATGTCAGTATTGGAAAGCTAAATGTTAACTGTGCTTATAACATGCTTGTTTTCTTATGTGAGGTTCCAGTTCTTCATCGACAAGGTGTTGCCTGAGTACCGCGACGCCATCATGTCACACACTCTCATCTACGTCCCGTCGTATTTTGACTACGTGCGTCTTCGAAACTACTTCAAGAAAGAGGAGCTGAATTTTACCCACATTTGTGAATACACCAAAAAGGCTGCTGTCTGCAGAGCGAGGCGCTTCTTCCTCAAGGGAGAGAAGCAGTTCTTATTGTTCACTGAGCGCTTCCACTTCTACAAAAGGTGAGTTGTGGGTCAAGCTTTCCTCCGAGTTTTGGATGTAGAGTCTGACCTTAATCGTAGATGGGCTGTATGAATCTGGTGGATTCGTATATAATAATCTCTAAGGACTTCTTTGACTGAAGTTAAGAGCTTTTCAGTTGAAAATCTGTGCGTGTTGTCAGCAGTCCTTTGCAGAGACTCTCATACTTTGGTATGCACAGGGCTTTGTTCAGGAAGGTGCGTGCTGCCAAGTTCCGCTGATGTCAGGCCAGGATCATATAGCCTACAAAATGGAATCGTTGTGCCTTTCGTTGTGTTCATCTGCGCCACAGTAATTACATAAGATTCTGGAAGAGGATATGTCATGGGTTTGATAACGCAGTACAGGAAGCTGAGGCCACCTGGAAAATTTGCTACATCCTGACTGGGGCTGGTTAGAAGTTCCTAATGGAACGTTTCTTTTTCTGTCAGCAGAAAATGTTTCATGAAACTTGGTCTGATCAGGCTTCTGTATCTTAAAATCCAAGCTAAAGAGGCTGAAATCTGCAGAAATTGGTGGTGGTCTGTACTCTGGAGGAAGTCGTTGTGCCTGGCAGTATTACATATCCACCCCTTAAATTCCACCTTTGTGTTAAGTTTAGCCTACACAGGGTTTGTGGAGTTGAGCTCCAGCTGCTGTGCATTGAAGTTGACAGAAGAACTGATGCAGGACTGATGTTCAGCGCGCACATTTTGTAAAAATTAGTAGTAAACTTACTTTTGGTTTTTGTTTTCCTACTACAGGTATACAATAAAAGGCATCAGGAACCTCATTTTCTACGAGTTGCCAACATACTCCCACTTCTACAGTGAGATTTGCAATATGATGAAGGCCACAGACAATGGAGTGGATGCCACATGGACCTGTACTGTGCTCTACTCCAAGTATGATGCTCAGAAGCTGGCTGCAGTGGTTGGCATAGAGCGCGCAGCTCAAATGCTACAGTCCAAGAAGAACGTGCACCTCTTTGTTACAGGAGAAAGTGAATAAGTGACATTGAATGGACCTGCATTCTACTGTTCGTGCACTTGCTGATGGTGTTTGTTAAGAAAGTGTTAAACTTCTTACTCCCTTTTATTAAATATTCTGTTGAAATTGTTCATACAGCATTTTGTGTTTCAGTCCTCTGACAACAAACGGAGGATGTCATTCCAGACAGCAGGATTTGGGGGGTATCTTCTGTATAGAAACAAGGTCAGTGTAGATCTGTTCTTCTTGTATATGGAAAAACTCCCTGGTCAACCAAGATTGATGCTGTGATAAATGTTCTCATTTAAGAATCGTTCTAATTTAAGAATCACTCTATTTTCAGGTGTAGCAAACTCCTTATATCAAAAACAACTTTTTCCTTTAATCTACAGGAAGAAATGTGCCCAGGTATTCAATGCAGCATATGTAAGGGAGGTGCAGGAGCAGCCTCTTCACCGCAGGCACATTGTTGAATGAGAATTGAACTTGCTTCACACTTGAGTTGTGAGAATCCATGAGTGTGCTTGGGCTGGAGCTGTGGTTTTGCATTTTTCCGTGAGTGACCTAAATATCTCTGCCTCCTATTTACAGGAGCCCCTGTTTCACCAGAGATAAGTGTTTTCCAAAGGGAAACAGGGTTGAACTTGGCAGGAGAGAAACATGAGCCTGCCTGGCCCCACTATGATCACCAAAGCAGCATTGTGGGGTACAAAAACCAGTGTGGCAGTTGCAAGTACCTGTGGTCTCCTATCTCACAAAGATGGAAAAGAGTGTGGTGCCCCTTTTCCTTCCGGGAAGCTAAGCCTAATTTAAAAGGAGTTACAAGTAGAGTAGTTTTTGTAGGCATGTGCTAGGACTGTGGGAGAGACTGTTCTGTAGAGGGGCAGGTGAGCCCAAATGCAAGAAGGGAACATCCATCCTGTGATGAGCTTTGAGGGAGTTCTTGCCTGTGAGGCTTAAGTAAATCTACCAAAGTGGAATAAACCACTTGAGTAAAGGAGGTTGGATAAGGCTTGGAGCAACCTGCTCTGGTGGAAGGCGTCCCTGCCCATGGCAGGGGGTAGGAACTGGATGAGCTTTGACCCAAACCATTCTATGAGACATGTAATTTTAGCTGGTATTTATCCTAATTTGGATTCCTGTATTTCTCAGAGGCTGTGCTCTCAGGGAGTTCCTGAGGTCCTGCAATCATGCGAGTCCCTGCAGTTTCCTGCTTTGCATTTCGAGGTAATGCTTTATGTTAATTTTATGTACCTCTGCTGTAGCACATGAGAATGAAGAGCCAGCCATGGCAAAGTTCTCCTCGTGAACATCTCTCTGCTGGACAGCAGAGACAGCAGGAGCAGCAAACAAGGAGTTTTCATGTATGGCCTAGGCTTGACGTGAGAGAACTGTGGATATGGAAACAAGCACACAAAATAGGATTAAGGAATTGTCTTTCTTCACCGGATGGACTTAGCGCAGAGGTGAATATCTGACCTCTGAGGAAGCTAAAGTGGGATAGCTCCTTAGCGAGGTAATACTATGCAGTGCAGCCACTGTGAAGAAGGAGCAAGAGGTTAGTGCCAGAGCTTTAACTATGCAAGGGTTTTTCTGCCCTTCCCCGTAGCCAAGTGCCTCGGGCAGGTTTGGTGCCTTCTCCATATCAGTACGAAGGAGTTTCTATTCCCAATGCTTCCTCCTACCCCAGTGCTGTGATGTTCCCGCTCCTCCTTTAAAAGATGTGCAAGTTTTGACACAAATGGAATGAGAAAAGATGTTAGAATAGAGATGAGGATGGAATAAGGAGAGACGACCTGGCGCTGTGCACTTGCAGCCCAGAAAGCCAATCATATGCTGGGCTGCATCAGAAGGGACGTGGAGCTGTTGGAGTGAGCCCAGGGGAGGCCACAGAGATGCTGTGAGGGCTGGAGCAGCTCTGCTGTGGAGCCAGGCTGAGAGAGCTGGGCTGGGTCAGCCTGGAGAAGAGAAGGCTCCTGAAGGGGAGACCTTAGAGCAGCTCCAGTGCCTAAAGGGGCTGCAGGAAACCTGGAGAGGGGCTTGGGACAAGGGCCTGTAGGGACAGGCCAAGGGGAATGGCTTTAACCTGCCAGAGGGGAGACTGAGATGAGCTCTTAGGCAGAAGCTCTTCCCTGTGAGGGTGCTGAGGCGCTGGCCCAGGGTGCCCAGAGAAGCTGTGGCTGCCCCATCCCTGGCAGTGTTCAAGGCCAGGTTGTACACAGGGGCTTGGAGCAAGCTGCTCTAGTGGAAGGTGTCCCTGGCCGTGGCAGGGGGTTGAAACTGTATGAGCTTTAAGGTCCTTTCCAACCCAAACAGAGCTGTGATTCTGTGATCCTATGTTAGCAAATACAACATTTATCTGTTTCTTTACCTGACAGCATGCTGCCCAGGCAACTTCTTCACAGCAGTGCACCGATGATGAGGAGCTGCTCATCTTGAAGAGAGAAATCTCAAATGAAATCCTGTTCATGTTGGCATAGGTACTATACTTTCAAGGGGGGTGATGATGAAGGGGGTCTCTTAAGAATCCTTTCTTGTTGATGTTTCAAGAGTCTCTCAGGGTACTGAAAATGAATCCTGTATTTTAGCTGCTGGAATGCCAGTGTGAGTGCTCTGCCTGCCATCAGGCCAGCAGCTTTCCAGGCACCAGCTGCTAACGTGCCATAGTGCTGAAGCACTAACAGCTTTGGGGAATTCAAACCCCAGGGTCAAAATAAACTGGGATTAAGATGTTAAACAAGATTTATTTCTGTTCAGCATCTCCTGCCTCTCAGGAAATCCTACTAATTGATGACCAAGAGAAATACACACTTGTCTCTGTAGGAAGATTGTTCTTCCAGCTAATGAGAGCATGTTGTAACAGCTCCTTTTTTCACCAGGAAAACCTAATCAGGATAATAGGGTTGTTATGTTCTGTTGCTCCTGTCAAAGATGACAAAAAGGCAATTTTTTCTCTTTTCTTCCCCCTGGCAATGTGTTCATAAGGCAGGAGCCAGCCTGCTGCTGTATTAAGAGTGGAAGAGAGAGGGAAAGGTGACCTGGGGACAGTCTGGCTCCAGTGGTGGGAAGCTGCTCTGGTAAGGAAGCTGTTAGTTTTGCAGCAGTCATTGGGAGACATGGGATGAATCACGTGAAGGAGAAATTGGAGCATTCCTGTTAATGACAGCAGAGTTAACAATTCCCTTACAGCTGTGCTGTCACAGGCTGTGGGGTTTCTCAGCTCCGCATTAGTCATGCTCCCTTGGCCTCAGCCCATGGAGTTACCCCAGGGTTTGGGGCTAGTTTGGACTTGGTGTGTCTGATGAAGCAGTTTGCTTTGCAGGGGTAGGGGCATCAGAAACCCATCCACAAAAGCCTGTGTGGATGTACACAGGGTCTGTGCAAAAGGGAGAGGGGTCAGAACAAGTGGAGGGCTGAGGACATCCTCCCAGGGATGCTGGCTGACCACTGATCCCATAGAGAAGGTGAAGGTGCTGCTGGTACAGACAGGCACCCACAGTGGCTGAGTTGTGCCATGCAGCAGCCCAGGACAAAGCCAGAAGCCTGGCTGCAAAACACTGCACGGAGTTTACAACATGTATTACTGTAGCCAGCTCTTGTCCTGGTCAACAGGATGCTTCTGCCCACACTAGATCCAAGACGTAGTTCAGTCCCTGTGGCTTTAAATTTCATGTTCCATGCTCAGCCTGACAGTAAAGGGTAATTAATTAGCACAGGGCTGGTTACATTTTAATTAAGCATTAGCTTCAGCTGTGCTTGGGGGATTGCTTGTTGTACCAGGGGGACTGTGAGTTGGGCTGAGACCACCAGCTCTGGGATGCATAAACAGCTCACAGGCGTGAGCTGGTAATGGGAACCACTTAGCTGAGATGCTGAATGGCCATAGCATTGAGTGGTACTCAAGAGATAAACATTTCATTATGTGCGAGAGATGCAGTAAAGGACATGAGCAAGATCAAGGTAAGATACAGAGCAATAACAAGGCACAGGACAAAAATAGGATGGTAACTGTGGAGTGGCTGGAGCATAATGATGCCAGGTTTAGCAAGGTCTCTGATCAGCCCTTCCTTTATGCTCTGACAAGAGGGGAGTCTGGTGGCAGGGGCCATAACTAAAAAACCATTGCCAGTGCTTTGTTACTACTAGCTAAAGAGCAGCAATCTCTGTGGTATATGCTCCTAGGTGTCAGGTTTGAAAAGCCCTCATTGGCATTTAACTAATAGTAAAGAATGAATACTTAGCTTTAATCATGCATAGTTGTTTTAATCCAAGCAGGAAAACGTGAATTGGTTTTGTACTAAGTCATGAGCATAAACTTCAAATGGATAAGTGGGAACCAGTTAATACAATTTATTTAGACTTCTACAGGGTCTTTGAGAAGTTCCTTCATTGGGGGCTTCTAAAGTTAGTGTTTGGTGTGGCTGAAAGGATCATAGCACCTCATCCGAGCAAAAGGCTCTATGTAACTTCAGTGCCATCTCCTCTGACCATCTCCTGACCATCTTTATAGCACAAACTGTTAGATTTCCCTCTCCAATCTTTGTGTTGGCATGGGCACTTACCCCTCTTCATCAGCCTAATCACATAATTAGCACTCCTTTGGAAAAGGAGTTGGGAAAGCACTGGGAGCACATCTGGCTGTGCAGCTCTTCTGGGGCTGGGTCAGCACGGTGGGGCAAAAGCAGAGTGAGTAAGACAGTATGAGCGAAGCAAATGTGTGAGAGGCAAACGGTGCGAAGTAGCTTTCACACGAGTACAGCCCTGAAATGCTGCTTTTTCTGTCAGACACAATCAGGTATCTTCTCCCTGCTGCTGACTTCGGCTTAAGAGAGGAAACCAGTGAGAGGCCTCTCTCTAGAAGCATGTGAGACCTGAGGTGAGTGATGGAGGAAGGCTCAGAGGGGACCTTATCGCCCTCTACAGCTGCCTGACAGGAGGATGGAGTGAGATGGTGTCAGTCTGCTAAGGCAGAGAGGGGAAGAGCAGCAGGAATCTCAACAGCCTGTAGGAGACTGAGGTTAGTGTTTTCCCAGTATTGTATTTTACAAAAGTTCTTGAAACACAGAAAACCCGTTCAGTAGATAGATAACAGGGCAGCATCGGTGGTCACAGTATCTGGAAAGCTGTATCCTTAAACTCCTGGCCTTACGTGGTAATTTGCTGATTTTTGGTCAAAAGACTTGGTGTCTTCGGTGAGCAGAATGCTCCCACCTTCCATTTGCAAGGGGTGAGGAGGTGCCAGGACTTTCCAACAGGGTATGGAGCATCCAGTAGATCACTTTATCAGGCGAGGTTAGAGCACTCAGACCCAAAAGAGTGGTCTCCTTGTGCTCCCTCCCCATCCCAGCACATGGGCACGCTCCCGGCTGACCTGTCAAGTGCAGATCCTGCTCGTGCTGCGAGGCAGTTGTTGCAGTTTGTGCTGCTTGGCTGAGGAAGGGCTCGGGATGAGCCGTGGAGCCATCTGCTCCTCCAGCTGACAGCCGCCTGTCAAGAGCAGCTTTGCCGGGAGAGAAGCATCTCGCTGTCACTAAGGAAAGGTCAAGAAAGGGGGGGCTGCGAGGTTCCTCCCTACTTCCACCATCTTTAAATCAGTCTCTTCCTTGCATGTTCTCCTGTGGCTCAGGCTCTGTGTCCTGGCCTCTGGTCAGCATCTTGGGAGCAGGGAAACGGCTGCACTGAGCGCCTCACCTCTCACATGCTCTTGGTGGGAGAAGGAGGTGCTCAGGGTTTGAGTTCCTCGCTCTTCCCTTGCTCTGTTCATCTCTCGATGCTGCCTTCTCGAGCTGAAGAGTTCAAGAAATGGTTTGCCTTGAAGCGGGCTCTGGTGAGGGTTTGCAAATGGTCTTTAGGGTGGTTTGTTAGCAACTGCTGGACAAAGGCCTCTGCTTTTCACATTTGCAAAGGATAAGAAGCTTCAAGGTCTTTAAAGGGCAGGATTTGAATTAAAGATGTTGTCAACAAGTATGAAAAATGGCCCAGCAGATAGGAAATCCAAAGAAATTTGACTAGGATGAGATCAAGATCTTGGTCCTGGAATAACCAAATGCACAGTATAAAGCAGTAAAAAATGCTGCTTAACAAACGAGATCTGCAAAGCCACATCACGGCGGTATTGTGGAGCCCGGATTAAACAGGAGTCCACAGCATGATGATACTGATAAAAGGAGAGATAATTCAGAGTTCTTTACCTTCCTAGGAGTGTAATCCTCAGGACTTTTGATGTAATCCATCCCATCTACTACAAACCGTCAGGCCTTGTCTGGCCTGGAGTATCCATCTAATGTGGGACACTGCATTCAGAGCAGCTGTGGGCCAGTCAGTCCAGAGGAGCCTGGAAAACAAGAGAGGGCACTGAAGGGGGGAAATCTTACTGGAGAGAGCAGGAACATCTGCTCTTTATGGGGGACAGGGTCCACAACGAGGAAATGAAGGTTCAAAACCAGGAGGAGTATCTTACTGGAGAGGGTATGAAGGCACAGGAACCAATTGCCCAGGGAGGTGAGGTTCAGTCCCAGGGAAGGCCACTCTTAGGTGCTCACCAAGCCACTGCCCTGCTGGGTTGCCTCATCAGTGTTTCCCAAGGGAATACCAGCTCATGTCGTTGGGGAACAGGGATTTTTAGCAGAGCAGCTTTTTGTTGGCCAAATGAACCAGGATTCTTCCTTTAATGCAGAAAGCGTTTGTGCTAAATGGGCAATAATTTAACCAATTTTATGCTCCATTATCCCATAGAGCAGAAGAAAGCGAACAAGTACCTTGAGCAGATGGACATGAGGTAACAGAATGATTTATTTTGAATGCAGAATTTATGTTCATCAAGGCCTGTGCTGTCATTTCCCTTCATATGCTGAGAATTGCAGCCAAACCAAGTACCATGGCTCAGCTCTGCTTTGTGCTCATTTAATTTGTTCGTAATTAATATGTCCTACATCCTGCAAACCCAAGCAATAGCATCTGAGAGCCTTTTTTCTCTCCCTCGGTAGTCAGTAAACAGGCATCTGGCTGAGATGAGCTTGGCATTGTTTAACCAATAGACAGTTGTGTTTTATGGGATTGTGGCACACTGGGCTTAATTCCAGTCCCACTGGAAATCCCTGGTCCTGCTCCAAGGAATCCAGGATATGGACAACAGAGACGTTGGGGCCCAGTGTTTTTATTCTCCCATATGGAGACAGGCTGAGAACATTGGGGTTGTTCAGCCTGGAGAAGAGAAGCTGCGTGGAGACCTCAGAGCAGCTTCCAGTGTCTGAAGGGGGCTACAGGGATGCTGGAGAGGGACTCTTCATCAGGGACTGCAGCGACGGGACAAGGGGTGATGGGTTCAGACTGAAACAGGGCAAGTTCAGGTCAGATCTAGGGCAGAAGCTCTTCCCTGTGAGGGTGCTGAGGCGCTGGCACAGGGTGCCCAGAGAAGCTGTGGCTGCCCCATCCCTGGCAGTGTTCGAGGCCAGGTTGGACACAGGGGCTTGGAGCAAGCTGCTCTAGTGGAAGGTGCCCCTGCCCGGAGCAGGGATCGGAACTGGATGAGCTTTAAGGTCCAAGCCAAACCACTCTGTGATTCTATGGTTTTGGTGGGTGGATCCATCCATGCCCTGTTGACAGCTCTTCACTGGTACAGGGGATGTTGCTTTAAGCTGTTGGCTGTTCTGGCAGGTGAAGTGTGGACTGAGGTGCTCCATGCCAGGCTGTGAGACAGGAGGATACAAAGGAGCAACTCAACATCTTGTAGCTAGCCTGCTAACTGACATATTAACTACAGATATTGAGTTTCCAAAACCTGTTTCTAAGGTGGCTGCATCTGCACTTGGTATTTCTATTGCACATGCAGTCCTTGTACCTGTTTATTTGGAGAGCTGGTTGGGGTTCCTTAACAGGCAGTGCTTGATTAGGAAATGATGAAGATGCTGCGCTTCCAACTTGAGCAATTTAGGATGAAGTTGCACAAATGTCCATTGGCCTGGCTTTGGCTGGGATAGTTTTCTGCCCAGTGGCTGCTGCACTGCTGTGGTTTTGGCTCTAGTCTGAGAATAGCCCTGAGAACACACGGATGGTTTAGTTGTTGCTAAGTACTGCCTGGTCTAAATCAAGGGCTTTTCAGTGTCTCCTGCCAGTGAGGAGGGTTTATACTTCATTTTGTCTGTTTGAGGTGAGCATCCCCTTACAACCTATACTTCCCAAACAACCTTTCCAAATCCTTTTCCCTGGAGCACTTTACCAGGATCTCACTGGCAAAGTTGTTCTTCTGTTGGAGACAGGAGTTACCTCTTCCCCTTATCGAGTGCATCCTTATACTTGCTGTCCAGGCCAGTAATGTGCATTAACAGAGCAAGAGGCTCCTTCTCCCAGCGGCGTGGGGATAAGGAGCCGGAGCTGCCTCAGTCTCCCTGCTGCTGCTTCCCACGCTTCCCCAAGTGACAGAAACCTTTCATTACAAGGAACGCTGGATTCCAAAGCTTCCTGTTTGCATTCAGAGCCATTAATGAACCTATCCTGGTATTGGCAATGGAAATGGAAATCATCCCTTTCTCCAGAGGAAGGCCAAGGGAGAGGCAGGGATGTTTTGGATGTCCCGCAGCTCCTCGTGCTTTCTGGGGTTCATGACTTTGGAGTGTGAACGTGGTGCTGGTTCCTCGCCAGCTAACTATTCTGTATGTTACAGGAACATATTTCTGTGAGGGCAGATGGTGTTCGCTTGATAGTCAGAATAATACATGAACAGCAGAGGAGATGTGGGTTGATTAAATAATTAGCATACTGTGACATTCTATTGCTTCACTGTAACTTAAAGCTGGGTCAAAATATGGGGCTGGATTACACCTCCCTCCCTCCCTCCTTCCTTTCTGTCTTCTGGTTGCTTTTATGTTCGCTCCAAAGGGAAGTTCGAACGGGAATTCAATCCTCTCAGCCCGGCATGTTCTAGAATAAAAGTCATAATAGAAAGGAAATGAAATTTTGCTAAATGAATTGAAGTTGCCAGGCAACCCCTCGCACCCAGTGTAGCATCTACTCAAGCAGTTATTGCTGACTGCATGGCACGCATCAGGGTTGAGACCAAAACAGGTGATCTCAGGAAGCCAGGGCAGTGAGGACTAGCAGGACTGCAGGCTGGTTTTCAGTCACTGTGGCCATCTGAATAGCTCTTTGCCTTCACAGCTTGTTTATGTGTCCACCAGCAACGTAATCAGTTCATCGTGTCGATTCCACTGCTTCCTGTCCCCCTGCTCTTGTGTTTTGCAGTAACAGTAATTCCAGGCAGTTTGCTGTCAACCGAGGGAGAAACAGAGAAAACATGCTTCTCTCAGCAAGGATATCATTTTTCACTAACCAAATACAACCCACCGGATTACTCATCCTCCTCTCCAAGTCCTGTTATCTATTCTGGGGTTTAGGGGACTTTCTGGGAATAAAACCAAGAGAGTTGTCCCACTTAGAAATCATTATCTTGTAAAGCATCGGTGCTGATTAAAAAAAGAGCGTTGGCTGCTAGGTAAACACTGGCCAGGGTGTAGGGGAGAAGTTGCCATGGTACCTCGCAGGCTCAGTGTCTGAGGCTTCAGATGTGTTGTACCTCACTAGGAATGCAAAGGAAAGACATGAGAGAAGTTACCTGCTACTCTGTGTTAGTGCTCTCTCCAGTGCAGTCTTCTGGATGTCCCCAGTGCTGCCGCTCTAGTGTCTTACAGTGTCCAGGAAGAGTCCCACAAAGCTGGTAAATCCCATTTTCTTGTTTCGATATGAAATGAATGCTTCCCTGCTGCTGGCACTGCTGAAGGTGAGGATTGGAAGTTTATGTTTGGGAGCAGTCACGGCAAAATTGACGGGGGGAGGCAGCTCCTGGCCTCTGCTAAGGTAGCTGATGCTGGGAAGGAGGAGCAGTGATGCCTCTGGAGCAGCTCGAGAGGATGCATGTTCTCCCTACTGCATTTGTCTAAAGCTAAAAGGGTGCTGAGGCGCTGGCACAGGGTGCCCAGAGAAGCTGTGGCTGCCCCATCCCTGGCAGTGTTCAAGGCCAGGTTGGACACAGGGGCTTGGAGCAACCTGCTCTAGTGGAAGGTGTCCCTGGCCTGGGACAGGGTTTGGAGGTGGATGATCTTAAGGCCCATTTCAACCCAAACCGTTCTATACTTCTGTGATTTCAGAACTGGACCAGCTGAGTTACAGGATTCATTTTCTCCCTAGTGTAATGGAAGGAAGAAGTCAAACTGCATTCAGAATCCTCAGCAAGAACAGATACATCTTTTCATCTAGTTACTAACATCTACAGCTGTCTTCAGAGGGGTTGTTTGAAAATACAGCAAGTTCTTCTTCCTTCTTGACCTCTGGAAGGCCCGAAAGTGCCAAGTATAAAGCATTCACTAGCTAGAAAACATTAAGAGAAATGGTCAGGTTCATACCAGGGTGCTTATTTGCAGATAGTGAAGCGGACAAGCTGTGAGTAAAAAGCAGATGATTTGTAAGAGTGCAGTTGGAAAAGTACGTTTATGGCACTAAGCTGTGATTCTGAAGGTCTGGGAGGGCTGTGGGTACTCAAATGCAGTTGAAAGTCAGTGGGAGCAGTGGCATGATCAGCATGCTACTGCAGCTGGGGATGCTCATTGCAGTTTGCATCAAAACCCTAACCAAGCAGACAGAATCACCTGCACAACGTTCTGACCAAGCTCCAGATGTAACTGACTCTGTGCTCTCGTTCTCTTCATTTTGCTTCATCACTAACTACGTTCTTATAACCAAAGTGAGGGGTCATCACGTTAGTGGGATGTGAGGGTGGGTTAGGACTGAACGTCAGCACTTGGTTTGAGAGACCCCTGAGACATGCAATAAAGCAGTTACTATATGTTATTCATACGTGTGGATCGCAGTCCACATAGGTAAAATGGCAGTGGCACAGAGGGGTTTGATCATGCACCACGTGTCATTCAGTAAACTTTGTCAGTTACGCTCCTTTAACCTGAAGGATTTAATCTGAGGAGAGACTCAAAGGGTGAGATTGATTAAAAAGCTCACAAGGAGACCATCACTGGTACATCCCTAGTGATTCATGTCTGGTCTCCATTTTCTCCTGACTACTGATCAAGTCTACCTGATCTTGAGATTATTTCCCAGTGGCAAAAGTCCCGATTCAAAGAACCCATAAACCACCCCCTACCCGAGCTCACCCCTTTGCCTTATGACAAAAGCATCTTTTTGAGGCTTTTATGCCTCTTTCTCATGCTTCACACCAATTATAGTGGAAAAGAGTTTATTCTCCTTTATGATATCTGCATATAGTTTGTTTTTCCCCATTAGTGGCTGTTCAGCCACTGCAAGAGTTCCTTGTTTGATAACCTCTTTCTTCTTTCCAGTAGCTGTTTGAATTCTGAAGCAGAGGTTGCTACCAGCTCTACCAGCAGTACCAATAAAACCTGCTAAAACCCCCAAGAGAATGTTTAAGGTTGCATTCTGGATCTTAGCATCCATCTTCTGATGGTTTACTGAGAAGGTAAAAGATGTGCAGGAAGCATATGGCTGATGTACTGCTCTGCAAGATGCTGTGACTAGAAGTGCTGAAACACGAGACGCTGACTCAAAGGTGAATTTATATCTACCCCATTATATTTGCTTGGGTTGGTTCCAAATGATGGTGGAATGAATTTGAAAAGCTGCTTTTTCTATCTGCAGGAAAGCACAAAAGCATCCAAACCCCATCTTCAACTTCTTGCCTTCCTTTGGTGTTGCCAAATACTCATTTTCTCCACTTAGAAATAGGAAATTTCCTGGTGCTTTAATTTGTGCAGCACAGAACTCTTGCTATGCAGGGAAATACTCAGCTTCCTCTCTGAACTTGCCCATGGCTTTCATGAGAAGAGGAGCAGTTTGATTGCCCTGGTGCTCCCATCCTGCTGGACACCCCACTGGATAGCTATGGGAAGCTTCCAAATATAAACCTAACGCTCCCTAGCTGTTTGCCAGCAGTGGGCAGGTCTAGACTCCCTGAATAATTCAGAGAGGTTCTAAGTTCCTCTCGTTGCAAATGGCCTTGAAAAGGAAAACAAGTGGTTGGTTTGGTGGGGCCCCAAAATGTCCCTGAACGTGTCTCCCTTCCCTTCCTCTCTGCTAGCAGGTGAACACAAGGCTTCCTTTGCACGTTTCTGCTCAATTTTGTGTTCTGTTAGCAAGGAGAGGTTTATTTCAGTCTACCAGAGGAGATCACTGATGCCCAGAGGAAGGGCACTCTCCTTTGAGGCTGTACTGGATTTATTGCATTAACCTTGTTTCCCTCTGGAAAACTTGCTTGAAGAAAGCCAGCAGCAGGTCAGGTCCCTCGTCATAGCTGTACTTGGGGTTTGCATTGCTCTATCAAGCCTTTAGCCCTCCCATTTTCTGTTTGTGCATTTAATTGCTCATGTGCTACACATCCAGTTTTGGACGTACAAATTGAGTTTAAAATGTCCAAGCCGGGTGTAATGATGAGATTATTACTGATACCATCAGTGCGGTCCTACTCAGTGTTGTACATTTATTGTCTGCAAACACGAAGCCCTTTTCCTACAGGAGCCTGAGGTTTCATTTGGGGTTTTTAGACCCTGCACGTGTGAGCTTGATACAAACGCTGTGCTGGTGCCAAACTGCTGCTTGTACTTGCAGAATGCGATTGAAGGAGACCCACTGAGGTTTTAGGGGTTGCCACCGTCTGAAGTGAAATTGTAGGTCAATCATATACTGCACCTATTTCACGGCAGCAGCTTCAAAATGAAGTAGATAGATAGCAGTAAAAGCTTTCAGTTAATAAATCCCCATCAATCAAACAAGTTGGCCTTGGTTTAGTTCTCATCATGGTAACCAGTTATAAAAATTATTAATGACCAATCCTCTTGATTTTCAAACAGCCGAGAGAGCAAACATGGTTCCTGCATGAACGCCTCCCCTCCGAAACACCTGCAGCTTCCTGTGTTCTGCATGTTTGAAAACAACCAGGCTTCCCATCTCAGAGCAGACTGATTCCCAAAGCATGGATTTCAACCATTAGTACCTGAAGGTGATGGAAAAAACCCTCCATGTATGGGCAGGTTAGTGCGATACGAGTCTTCGGAAACAGGTATATTTGCAGGATACTTTGGGATATTGAAAACTGATCCAGGTTTTTAAGACAATTGTCCCCCCAAACCAGTACTGGATTATTATTTATGACTTGTTTATTTTTTGCTCTCTGCAAAGTATTTACTGAGGAGCTTTTCAGCCTGGGAACGTTCTGTCATTAATGTTATCCTCAATGATAAGCTGTCATGAGGTACTGGAGTGAAAGACAACATAATAAACAGCCTGTGGCATGTGCTGGAGCACAGCCATCCGTTAATGGCTCCACATATGCAAACACCTTCAGTAACACTGGTGGTTTTATTACCTGGGAGGGGAGGGCAGGCACAAATGCTGATACAGATATAAAGAAACAGGAAGCTAAGTGTCGTTAGTCACCAGTTCTTTCATAGGATAAAGCAGCAGTTTACTGGAGCCAGCATCTCCTCAGGATCTCCCCTCCACTCATTCTTTAATTGATCAGTTCTCTCTATGTTTTTAATATGTAACTTGGATTAAGAACCCTAGGATAAGATGAAAAGGGGGAAAGTTGTGAGGAAAGAGAGGAATTTAGAGTGAAAAATCCTTATCTTGTGCATAGAGGGTATGATGCAGCTCTGGAGGAACGCATTCTCCGGTTTTCTGGTTTGTGCTTTAGACTTCATGAGCTGCATGGTGTTTGGAGGCAGTGCATAATTGATAAGGTATAACAGTGACTCGATACATTTCTGGCACCCTTTGCATGCGGTTGGTAACTGAGCTAAAGTGTTTAGCCAAGAGGTGACAAGAGAATTAGTACCTGTCACCCTGAGCCCCACAAAGGCTGGGAATTACATTTCCGAATCTTATTTCCGCACGTCTGGGGAAGACTCAATCACTCCGAGCAGCACGCACACGAAAGAGCTTTCCAAAGAGACCTGTATATAAGTCCATCAAGCAATACCATCTGCTCAAGCAGAAGATCAATTTCTAATTCAATACAAAGGCTTTATCTTAAACAAATACTTCAATTGCAATCATCTCAGCGCCTGGGAATGATCGGTGGCCTCTGGGGATCACACCGACACTTTGGTTCCCTGTATTAAAAAGCGGCTTAAACCTGGGACAGTGCTTGCAACGAGTAACATGAAAGAAAGCTTTTTATACCAAAGTGTAGAGGAGGGTCAGATTCAGGGTTGAACGACTGCATTACCCAGGGGGAACTGTAGGGATCCTTTTGGTTATTTGGTGCAATTTAATTACAAGACAGGCTGTGTAGAATAACATAGCAGAGCCTATCTTTTTTAACAACAAAACAGAAGTGTGCTTAAGAGGTTTTCTGGGGGAGCTGTGTATTGCAGGCTCTTTGCCATAGACCTGTGCTTAGCTCAGGAGGCCATATGCCTCCTGGAAGACGGAGAGCAATGCTGCTTTTGGGGGGGATCCTCCTTTCATTTGCAAGAGTTGTCTTGTGTCTTGGCAGTGGCATTCTCTGTGGTACCCATCGAATGTGCTTCTCTGGCTTGTGTCTTCCTTTTGGAGCCTAAAGACGACATGAAGAGTGGAAATGAGAGGAGTAAACGGGAGTGGGGCTGGAAGTGGACACCTAGGCGTTAACAGCAGGAAAATGATGCACGTGAAGGACAAGTTAGGTTGAGGGAAGCCTTTGTTCCTGTCTCCAGAACAGTTTTCAGTGGCCGTGGGGATAGGGAGAGGGCACCACTTCTGCCTGGGAATTCGAGAGTCTTGAAAAGGTTTGTGGCTGTATCTGGTGAAGCGAAGCTTAAGAGCATCGGTTTAAGTATGGCACAGCTTACTTGTGGTGTATGGAAATGTTTCTGACACGTTACAGACACCGTCAACCTGTGTAGCAGAGTTAGCAATAAGAAGTTCATTATGGAAGTCCTGTTAGAAATGCTGCATGTTTTATTGTGGCTGTAGCCTTTGAGAGCACCAGCGTTTTACTGGCAGCTTTCCATTAGGAAAATATTTACAATCTTAATTCTAATGCGATTAAGTGCTCTGCTTGGGAATTTTTATGGTCACTAATTAGGTTAATACTGATCATTAGAACACAAATATAATTAATTTCCCATAGTATTAAAATTAATCACATGCTTAAAGCTAGATTAAACCAGCCAACAGTGAGAAAGAACAATGGCCTGGTTTCTGATTTCACTGCCTCAAGGCTTCCCAAATAAAACCTTCACTTACATTACAGGGGTGGGCCACCTGTGTTTCAGTAACTATCCATCAGTAACAAACTAATTAGAGTGTAACGAAGAACCAGGATTTACAGTCCACAAGTTGTGAGGGAATTAGTTAATCTTTTGGGGGGATACAGGGAGAATTTGATTCAGCTTCTATGCTCTTGCTGCTTCTTTGCTGAACAGAGCTAAGCAAGGGAGTCTGAAGAGCAAATCCCCCCCCCCCACCTGTGAAAAGATTATTCCAAAGAGGTCCTCTGGGTCTGTTTGCTTCCCCATGCCATTGGAGGGATAATAGCTATCAGGCCAAGAGGATCAGCAAAGCTAAATATCTTTGCTTTAGGACAGTTTCTATCCTGATGCTTGCTGATCCTTCAGTTTACTAAGACTGGGAAAAGAGGCAAGAACTCAAAAGCCACAGCGTCCCTGGGTCTTCTCCCCTAGGAACCCACCCGAGAAAAGCTTTAGAGACCCTTCTTTGTATGTAAGCCTCTCCATGTGATTCTTTCCATTGGAGGTGCTGGAATCACTCCCTGGATTTAACAGAAAATGTAATTAGGGTTAACCTGAATTTAAATAATTGCTCAACTATTAAATAGCTATTAGCGTGCCCTATCATTTGCTATAAGACAAATGCAAATGTATGTCACTGCATCAGGCCAGGAGAACACAGACTGGGAGCTGATAATTGTTACTGTAGTTCCTCACCAGTGAGACCCGAGAGGTTTTTGTCCTTATATTACAAGCCCCTGTGTTTGTGGTAGTTTACTGCTGCTACCGGAGAGGCCAGGGTGGGTGTTGGCACAAATATAAAGGCATATTCAGTCTGCGTTTGCAGAACACATTTACTTTCAGTGATGCAAAATGGAATATGCCCAGAATCAAAGCTCTGAACATTTTCACATCGTTCTATAGTAACGATCCCATCCTGCTCCTATTAAAGATTCAACATTTTAATGAGCATTGAATGAACAAGAGCTTTTATCCTGGGCTCCAGAAGTGCACCACAGCCTGTAAGAATGCATGTCATTAAGAATAACTGCAATTAAATGTAGCATCATGTAAGTCTTTTGCAAATGGGCTGCTTGTGTAAGTACTTGGAAGTTCTAAGTTTGTTAACTTTGACCTCCCAAGGCTGTAAAAGGGCCCCTTAATATGCCAGGCATTGAAATTAACTGTAGAAAACTATAGAGCAGCTGAGTCAAAAGAAAGCAGTACCTAAGGACGTAGTGAAATTCAGGAGGTAGGTCTAATCCAGGAGTATTTTCACATGGAGCAGGCCTTGGTTTCTGAGCACTGTCACCATATATCGAGAGTATGGTTTGATCTTTTTAAAATCACATTGCTTTGAGGGCAGATGAAATTTCTTTCCTTGTCATTTATTCCCTCAGTGTCAAAGCAGGAACTGCAAACACTGGGCTAAAAGAAAAGTCATTTCATTTCCCTGCAGCTTCTGTAATTGCCTTTGTGTCCTTTCTTGAACCTCTTTTCTGTAGCTCCTCAGAGCCAGTCCCTTCCATGAACAGCAGCTCACTGCTCTGAACTCTTCTGCCTACTACGGCAACAGGGCCTTGAAACGGAGTGGGAAGACTCTGGTACCTCCAGGCTGCCTGGTAGCAAATAAACGGAGTATTTCTCTCCATTCAGATCAACAGATTCTGTTCTCGCAGCTTAATTCTGTTCACCGCCCCGAGGAACAAGGAGGGTGTTTAGCAGAGGCATCGTGTGTTGGTGATCCAACCACCCCCGATCCCTCCCCAGGTTGCATAAGTACTGCATGCACACAGCTGCAGCCTGCTGCGCGCAGGAGCTTCAGCAGCAGCAGCAGCAGCAGCAGCAGCAGCAGCTTCCCTTCCCCGAGAGGGGATTTTGCCGGTGGAACAGCTCTGGTACGGATTCAGCAGCCGCACGCCTCCTCTCGCTTCCCACGCACCCTTTTGTACTGTCGCCATGGAGCAGCGGGGCAGCGCCGCTTCGCAGGTCGCAGCCCGGTTAGCCTCTGCTGAGCACGCTTCCGAAGCGGCGTTCTCTCCCCGCCCGGAGACCGGCAGAACCTATTTCTTTGAGCAAAATGCAAGCCCGGTGGAGTAACGCGTCTGAAAGCTTCAAACTCAGATCCTTCGATTTATCTTTTTTGGCTTTAGGATCGTAATTTATGCACATAGGAAAGGGAAATGTGGCTTTTTTTCTTTCTCTCCCGGTCTTTTTCCTCCCCAAAGCATCACAAAAACCCTTCATCTTTTCCAATAATATTTTTAAAAGGGGGATGGGGGGGGATGGGGGTTAACCCATGAAAAACCGTTCCAGCAATTTTATAACAAATCATGAGCTAATTTTTTCCCCTTATCAGCTGTATAAGGACTATCTGCTTAAAAACTGTTGGTTTGTCTAACGTAGCATGAGCAACGTGTGGTAGAGCTGGCAACAAAATCACAGCTCTGCAGTGCCTGCCTAGTTCTTCACTGAGAAAACTATTCTTTCTCTCCCTTCAGCTCCTCGCCTATTAGAGTACACATCTTGCAGTCCTTCAAATAAAGGACATGAGTTTTACAGAGCAGGCATGGTCCTGACTTAAGAGCCCTGTTTAGGCTGTGCTCTGAATCAGAGAAAACTCCAGTGAAAACAAGCACATACCGGGGAAGCAAAGATCCATTCCCCATGTGTTTTGGTGCTTTTGGTTACCACAGATCAATATGGGCCTGTTTAG